TATCACTCTATTGGTTGGTATATTAGACAGACAGACAGACAGACAGACAGACAGACAGATAGATAGATAGATAGATAGATAGATAGATAGATAGATAGATAGATAGATAGATAGATAGATAGATAGATAGATAGATAGATAGATAGATAGATAGATAGATAGATAGATAGATAGATAGATATCATCCTGTTTTTTCCCTGTCGTGGAATAATAAATGGAGAGACATATAGATATAGAATCCAATGCCCCACTGTGCCTCCTGGGAGAAGAGACAACTTGTGTAGCCTTTTGCAAGCTGCATAGTCCCAGGATGCTCCCAGAAGAAGGGAATGGTGAACCACTTTTGAGTATTCACTGTCTAGAAAACCTTGGAAAGAGTTGCCATAAGTCAGAATTGATTTGATGGCACACTATTATTATTATTATTATTATTATTATTATTATTATTATTATTATTATTATTATTATTATTATTATTATTATTATTGTATTAGTATTAGTAGTATGAGTAGGAGTAGGAGTAGGAGTAGGAGTAGGAGTAGGAGTAGGAGTAGTGTGTTTATTACACTATAGGCACAGCCATGAGTGTATGGTTTAGGATTGGAACACAGTCATTTTTCAGATCAGCATATCAGCGCTCAGAAGCCTCATTTGCCAAGCCCTTGGTGCACTTTTTTCCCAATTTCTTCTTACAATTTAGACTTTTGTTTATCCAAGATGCTTTGCACTGTCAGGTTACCCAGGTTGCTAAATGAACTTGGAAAGAGTCAACTTAATTACAATAAATATTATTTATTTCACTAAGAAATGGGTAGCTTAGCATAGCAGATATTTTAACATTTCTAAATTATATTCTTTAAAAATCATTACTTCATATTTCTTAGTCTCTGGGTTTTTCCAAAAAAATTTCACCTCTTTTGCCCATATATTGCTGAGGAGCATAGAGAGATAAGTAGGTGAGTGACTGAACAGCATGGAACAGAATGAAATTCATTCTAAAAAGTTACCATATCTAGATATGTAATTTCATGCCTTGCCTTTTAGGCTAATAAGATGATTTATTCAAGTTGTGGATGTGTTCATTGGATAGTTTATATAGTAATTGGGGCTTCATTCATGATAATAAATGTACTCTTTGTCCTCTGCTTGTTTTCTTGCAAAAGTTAGAGTTATTGGAAAATAAGTCATCTTTGCATTTTGAAATCAGCCTAAGTATAATCGCTAGCACTAGCCAGAATAGATTCATTGAAAATTGTTAAACAGTAAGTCGACACCTGTGTAAATCCAAATGATTCATTAAATCTACTCTAGTTGGGATTAGCAAATGGATTTAAACCATGGTCTCAGAACTTGTCATTTCTTCCCATATTTTTCCACATTAGTGTTTCCATTCCTGGCCCTCCCCTGTACATTATGGGGTATCATAGAAATCCTTGCTCCCCCCCTTTATCTTCCTTATAGGCTTTATTCTTGACCAGTGGCAATCCTACTCATCAGTGCTCAAAACTTTCCTTAGTGTTTCTCTCAGGACTCATTACTGGACTGACTTCTCCTATAAAAGTTATGTTTTATTTATTCTGTCATCAGAATATATTTCAGGATTAGCTATTTCATGGTTCATCTGGCAAAATATTCTCCTGAAGACCTCCTATACTAAATTAACATAAAGTAGGAAGGCCTTCATCTACAAGATCATAGACAAAGTCAATGAGAAATTTCATATTAAAATGCCCATGCTCTGTGTAGTCTGAAACAGTTAATGCTCAGTAATGCCGCTTTGACCTTTGTAATGTTCCATAATTTGATCCTCCTGTTCATCTTTATGTTCCTCATTTCTTTTGGAATGTTAAGTACCCACATGGATAATAGTGCCAAATACAGTCACAGTACAATGCATTGTAAATGTCATGTAGGTGACAATGAAATTCCTGTCATCTTGTAAAATTCTCATCCAGTAAGGGAAAAATAATTATTGACAACTGAATTCTTTTCTAACTAAAGAAAGATAAAGTGAAGATGTTATTATTTGTACTGAATAACACTTTCTTTTGAGGAGCCTAGAATGTAGCTTTTTGTCCACAGGAATATGCCAAGTATAGTGGTGCCTCGCTTAGCGATCGCTCCGTTGAGCGATGAAATCACTTAGCGATGGGTTTTTGGCCATCGCCAGAGCGATTGCTTAGCGATGGCCCCTGTGGGGAAAATCGCTTTGCGATGATCATGGGGAAGCGATCATGGCAAAGCGACCCTTTTTGCACAGCTGATTGGCGGGTCCAAAATGGCTGCCGGAAAAACAAAATGGCCACCCGCTGTTTTGCCTCACTTTAGAGGCACTGAAAATGGCCGCCCCTATGGAGGATCTTCGCATAAGGTCAGTTTTTAAGCCCATAGGAACATATAAAACACGTTTTAATGCCTTTCTATGGGCTTTTTAAAATCGCTTAGCGAGTAAATCACTTAGCAACGTTTTTCCTGGAACGGATTAACGTCGCTAAGCGAGGCACCACTGTATATGGCAATATTTGTCTGTATGTAAAAAATCTGAAAAGTGAGATTTAGTTTGTTGGGCTAGATGCTGAAAGAGATTACGTTTCTGGTTATTAATGTTTGTTGGAAGATTTGCCAATTTGAATGACAGAATTTCTGCCATCTGAGGAACTCTGCTGGTGCAGATAATCATATCATAATGGTCGTTCATGGATTTGGAGAATGCTGACTATGCTGTTGTTGTCCAGCTGTGCATTATCGTTGTTGCCTCTTGAAATGAAGTGTCCATCCCATGTATCATAAGCAGACAATGGCACATTGAGACGATTGTGTTTTGCTTGTGCCCACCTAGGCATAGATATGACAAAATGCTATTATATATGCATTGTGGAATCCCATAGAATATTGTGTGCCACCATAGAAAAGCATCTTTTTAAGAACCCGGTGAGAAGTAAGTACTCCACAAGCTCGAAGAAGTGACATTTTTCATTTGTGCAAATGACTACAGGGTCCTGTAAGTCTTTCAACTTATTATTTTTAATGAAATAAAATGAAATAAAATTTGGGGATATGGGGAATCACATGTGAGCCCCCCAGGGGCCACACGTGGTCCCTGGGCCACAGTTTGCCCACACTTGGACAAAGTCACACAGCAACAAATTACTTCATCTCTTCATGTGTACAGTTTCCACTTTATCATCATTATGTGTCTAATTATGGAAGCCAGTCAAGATCAAGCCTGGTTTTTACTTGAACAGAAGTCCACCAGGAAATAACAGAGATCTTTAGATAAGGATAGGAAAGAATCCTGCCTGAACCCATGGAAAATCCAGTAGCAGGAAGAGCTGTAAACACTGGACTAGACAGACTGATTACTGTATCTAACTTTGTATGAGGCACTCTACTGTTTTCCTATAACTTCAACGTCCAATTCATTTCTGTATCCCACTGAAAATCTTCTTCCTTGCAAAGCACTATTCACAGACACACACACACTCTGGATTTTGTTTCTTCTGTATGATATCTGTAATTACACTTTTCACTTTGGCTGGAAATAAGTGGGAAAGACATGATGCAAAATATCTGGGATAGGAGTGGAGAGAAGGACCCATGTTGCCAATTGAAGATCCACTATTGGGATGGTTTCCTGGCATATTGCTGGTTTTTCCAGAGTTGATACAGGGTGATTGAAATGCAGAAATCAACAGAGTTTTAAATGAGCAACATAAGTTGGAAACGTGAAACTATTTACAAGGCATCCCTGGTTGCTTCAGTTGTGGATTATTCATTATTTGGAGCTTTGTATTCATTCACGCTAATGGTGTGGTGGTGATTTATTTTGTTTTTCCTTGCCAAGCAACACTGGCATGCAAATCAGTTGCACTTCATTCAACCAGGCAATAAATCTCAGAAGCAGACAGTTAATTGCACTGGAAATTAGGGAGGCCAACGGAAAATCAAGTTCATTACGATCAAGGGGCAAGTAAGTTTTCCCTAAGTGATAGAACAGAAAACGGCCTATCAATATAATAAAACAAATATTGGCTTGAGAAAGGGGTGTGTGGCAAATAAATATTTATCTGCCTGCATGTTTCTAAGACATTGGATAACATAAAACACTTTGAGACAGTTCTTTGGTGAACACGGTGGTTATTTCAACATAAGGTGTTATAGTCTCATTGTCCCGTTGTACTGTTCATATATTACAGTGGGGTCTCTACTTAAGAACGTCTCTACTTAAGAACAATCCAACTTAAGAACAGCTTCATTTGCTAAATTTTGATTCTACTTGAGAACAGAAATCCAAGATAAGAACAGGAAAAAAAAACCTTTCCTGCTCTTTTTTTAACCTTAGGTCATCTTAGGTTTAAAAAAATTCTCCCCCTAGTGGTAGAGTACGTATTAGCCAGCTTTGCATCAGTTCCTATGGGAACTAATGCTTCAATGTATGAACGCACGTCTACATAACAAAAAAACAGCCAGAATGGATTAATTGGTTTTCAGTCCATTCCTATGGGAAATTTTGCTTCAACTTAAGAACGTTTCAACTTAAGAACACCGTTCCAAAACGGATTAAGTTCTTAAGTAGAGGTTCCACTGTAGTTTCTATGGACGGAAAAGAGCAGATACGGATTAAATGGTTTTCAATGCATTCCTATGGGAAATGCAGATTCAACATAAGAACTTTTCAACTTGAGAACCGCCTTGCAATACGGATTAAGTTCTTAAGTAGAGACCCCACTGTACCATGTTATTGGTTCAATGCTTTCTGTATCAGCATTGCCCTGAGTCTTCAGAGCAATCCTTGAAAAAAAACACAGAACAAGAAGGTGATATATTCTTTTCCTCTATTTCTGACATGTATTCCGTTTTCCTTCAGCTTTCTTCTCAGTATTCTTGTGTTGTAATAAACATATTGTTGGAAGGCAGCGATTCTTACCACTAAAAAGAATAGCTTGTAATTTCTGGAGCATGAAAATATCGATCACTGTTTTTGTCTCCTTTCTTCACAGGAGCTGCAAAGAATCAATCCTCCTTACTGTTATTCAGCCTTACCCCGTAAGTAGTTACCATGTTTTTAGAATTAATTCCCTAGCAACAATTACTGCTTTTGTCTGTCTTTTCTCTCCCCGTGTTTCTTATCTGCATAATGAATAGTACAAGTGAAGTGTACACTGAGTCTTTGAAGATAAATGTGATGATTACATGCTACTCTAGACAGAAGTGGAACAATGAACTGATAATTTTTTTATATGCTAGAGAGTGTTTCTTGAGGACAGCATACTGAGATCTGCTCCATGACATTGCATAAACCTGCAAAGCAATTCTTTTATTTTATTTTCTTGCTTCACTTTTTAAAGCATCATCTTTCTGTGACAGCATCATCCTTTTCCTATATGGGGTTTTAATTCTGAGTTAGTCTCTACCAGATTATGGGCCTAGTTAGAGTTTAAGTCAGTACGGAACAAAGGTGGCATGGCAATTTATGTTTACTCCTGAAATAAAAAAGAGTGTTTACTCCTGAAATAAAAAATAATATTTGCCTGCTTTTTGTATATATGAGCAAGTGGATCACGGATATGTGGCAGACATTTGAAAAATGCCTCAACACACAAAAGTGACCAGTGCTTAAGCCAGGTATACCCATGTATAAGTGCTTTCATACAGATTAAGTTCAACAACTGAGGAGTATCAACCAATAGCAGGCTTTAAGTGAATTGCCCAAGTTATGAACACTGTGAATAATTGCATTCTAACCACACATGCAGCTGGCACATCCTAAGCTGTTCCTCTGCTGCTTTCCATGAAATAAAAAAATTAGATTTTCCCCTTTCCCTTTAGGGTTATTCGCACAATTCATTCTACGAAGACTGTATTAATAGTCACTGTTTATTTAGAAGGAGTGCTTTCTATCCTTCATGAAAATTTATGACTTTTAGTGCTATAAGCACATGATTAAAAGAAATCTGTCTTAGATATGAGGACTGATTATGCAGAATTTACCTAAGTGGGCAGTATCTTAATGTGTAGCCAGCTCTCTATTTAAATGGTAATGACATATTCGTTTTCCTGTCTTGATCCTGTACTTTCTCCAAGTATCTAAGGCCAGAGGCAGAAAATAAATCATGTATGCACCAAATTACTTTGCAAGCAGAGATCTATTTGAGGCTTGAAATCTGTGTCTTTCAATGTACAGTACCTTGTTCCTTTCCTTTTTGTTTAATCCAAATGAATCAGTAAGAATAAAAAGAGAGAGATTAGTTGAAAGTGTGCCTGCTACTTTAAAACAGCATAAAAATAAAGCATACGATCTTAGTTTCAAGAAATTAGTTCTATATTTTCTTCGTCGTCGTTGTCTAGTCGTTTAGTCGTGTCCGACTCTTCGTGACCCCATGGACCAGAGCACGCCAGGCCCTCCTATCTTCCATTGCCTCCCGTAGTTGTGTCAATTTCCTGTTGGTTGCTTTGGAGACACTGTCCAGCCATCTCATATTTTTTCTTAGGGGCTGCTTATTCTATCACTGGATTTTGAGTGTCTCTCTGTTTATCTGTGTATGCAGATAAGTTTGGACTTCCTTATAGAACTGTATGCAGTCAGAGAGGTGAATAGCCTGAGGCTATGTTACCTATGATTGGACAGCAAACTTTGTGATGCAGATTCATGCTATGAGATGTAGAATGCTGAAATAACAACGGGCTGTGTATTCAAAGGGTTGTGTTTTTTGCTTTAAAAAGAATAATTGTATCAAGTGAACTGCAAATATAAATAGCAAGTCAACTAGCTACCAGGATCTTCAGATGTAGCCCCTAGCCAGAAGTAAGAAAAGTATGGCCCTGGAGATGTTGCTGGACTACAGTTCCCAGCATTCTTCACCATTGTCTACACTGGCAAGGACAGGTGGAGACTGCAGTCCAACATCTGGAGAGCCATTAGTTGTCCACCACTGCTAGAGGCCTTTTAATTTCCATAACATTCAGTCAGTATATTGCTAAATATCAGTTGTGGAATGTGTGTGTTTAATTTTTTTTTTAATTATTGTATGGATTTTTCTGTGTGGCCCAAATAAATCAATAGGACTACTTAGTACAAACAATAATAGGTTCCCCTATACTTCTCCATGTCTTGGCCACGGCAAGCAGGGAGAATGGAAAATCCAAATAAAGGTGAGGACAAATTGTTTCTTTTTCACACTCACATCTGGTAGTTGCCACAGTGGATAAGTGGGACTTTCGGGCAAGTGGGCATTTCTTAGCAGTTCTTACTGCAAAATAATTGCCAGTTGGGGCATAGATTATTCTTGGAGGTTGAACATAGGTAGAGAGATGTTACCTCAGCCCATGGATACAACCATTGTTTTCCCATTTAGAACCCAAGACCACTGTAGAACCATCTTCTGTTTTTCTTCTTTTTTCTTCTTATCTATAAAATACAGATAACTTTAATTTAAATTTAATTCTAGCAATATTAATTCATGCATGCATGCATGCATGTGGTTTATTTAAATAGACTCATGAAGAAGTATTGTTCTTCCAATATGCACAGACTGTAAATATGGATCTTCCAAGCTTAGAGGAGTGCTGGATATGCCGACGGTGTGCATAACTGGCCAATGATAAGATGATGCTTTTGCTCCTGTAGCATCATTTTACCACTGCTCAGTGAGGGAGTCTTCAGTATGTCATTCCTCTCAAAAGTTAGCTTTCTGAACTTTGATTGTTTCCCCTGATATTTTACACTATTTTGAATCATCCAGTCTTATTTGTATGCTTGCTATCCATTCACCACTAAAACAACCAGGTGAAACCAATAGTGTTCACTTCATAAAATAGTGTTCTATTACAGTACTCTGTTTGTTCGCTGAACATAATTCACTCACTGTCTTCCAGATTAGTTTAGTTTAAGCTCATTCATTTTGGTTTAATTACAACCAAAGCCAAACCCTCTGCCTTTGTGCTTCCTGTCATTCTAATAAATCTTCCCCAGGTTAATTTGAATGTCATCTTTACTGATAAGAAAAGGATTTAAAAGCTTAATCTAATCACTTCAAGCAGTTTGAAGATGCATTTTTCTGGAAGTTCATTTGATTATCTGCAGAAAATATTTTGTTTTGTATATGAGCAATCATTGCAGTGGTACCTTTTATTAGGTTTAAGAATATTTCCAGTTACATAATTGATCCATCCAGTGTGCTGTGCATTCAAGCTCAAGAAATGCTTTTCCGTTCCTGACCTGATAAGCTGTTGTTCTTGATAGCTATTATATCTACAAGATATCTTGCTGCAAGACAGCAAAATAAACCAGCCATTGGTTCCCTTTAAGTAATAGAATGTCTTTTAGACATTTATCAGCATCATTTCATTGTAAAACTCAACATTTTTATAAATGTACAAACTGCATGCAATGATACAGAGTTATGAAACACATTTTTCAATGTGCGAGTTCTTCAGCAGATGGATCAGCTTGCATTCATTTCTCATGTGCTCATTTCATTTCAGTTTGCTCTGTCTGGTTTCTGCATTAGCATCTGATTTTTAAAACTGCAGAGTTGTATAAAATATATTTTCCTCTGAAGTGCACATTTAGTATCCACTGTGCCCGAAATATGCAATTTTCTAACATTTCACTTAAAAGACAATTTTTCTAGATAGACATAGATTCAGAGCTCTATATCAGAGGGGAAAGATGTCCAGGAATGGTTCCCTTTATTTGTTTCTTCAAATACCTTTCAGAGTCACACTGTTCCCCCCACATGAAAAACCACTTTCTGAATGTTTTTTTTGGGGGGGGGAGATCTTTTGCTACAACAAGGAGAGATCACTGGAGCAGCAATTTACATTTTTTACCGCTACCTATTTTGGGGCAGGGAAGTCTGTAGAGGGTGGAGGAGGCCAGAGGCCATATAAAAAGCTCTGGGGCCACATACAGCCCATGGGCCTCATGATTCCGCTTCTGCCAAGTACCTTCCTGTGGAAAAGGACGCCTCAAATGTACAGTTCAATCTTGGTCCAAAGGGGGGGAAAAATCCTGCCCAGCTCTATCTCTCAGTAATTGAGTTTGGTTCATAACCACTATACAGAGGATGGGCAGAGAAATAAGTGTCAACAATGAAAAAATTCACATAGAATCTTCAATATATGCCTCAAGAGAAAGGAAGTCCCCTCTTCTTTTTACCCCTTAAGTCCTGCACTTGGGAACTGACTGAGTTTGGGAATGAATTGACCAAGGGGACACCTCCAGCTGGAAATTTTGGGTTGGCCATATACCTTAAAGGAGAGGTTCATGATGATTTCCCCCTGTGTTTAATTGGGTTTTTTTTTAATGTTTAACTTATTTTGTTTTTAATTCTTTTCTTTTTAATTTTGTGAGCTGTATTAGGCCCCCTTATTGGGAGAAAGGCAGCCTATAAAACAAACAAAAAGTACATATGATGGTCCCTGCTAAGCACTGCTCCAGGCATGTGATGGTTTTACTAAGACATTATCCATTGCCTTTCCAAGATGTTCCCATTAAAATAATCATAATAAAAGCTATTGTAACAACCTTGGAGCCATATTATAACAAGCAATCACAAGGTAATAGTCAAATGGTTTCTGATGGATAGGATTCTGATAAGAAATTAGGAGAGGGATCAATTCAAGTGCTGAATATCTAATGCATGGAACTTAGGGCGGGGAAGGGGACTTTTCTTTCAGCCACTGTGCCTCTCAGTATCACCTGGGGACATTTTGAAGGTCCACGGTGAGCTCAAAGAAGAAGGAGACTGGAAGTGACTGGAAGCAATGCTATTACTATATGAGAATAGTGTATCAATCCATAATACCTACTTTTACAGAATATTCTTCTCTGAGACTATAAACATGCAATATTACTTATCTCACTGTTCAATTGAAATTGTATTTGCAATATATAACTATGGTCATAGCATTGACTATAACTTAGATAAGGAAACAATCATAGTCACAAACACTATATCAACATGATGTGCTGACTTAAGGGGGTGACTAGACAATGGATAATTGCATGGATGGTGGACAGATGATTGCTTCATGTGCTGTCAGGGTCTTTGCTATATTATTAGGGGCACAGGATTCTGTTGCCATAGACTTTATGCACACATGACCTGTTTATCTTGGGGCAGATGATATACATTGCATACAGAGGTCCCAGATCCATCCTTTGTGTTGCAAGGTAAGACTGAGGAAAACGTATCACTAAAATCCAGGAGTAAGTCACAGCTAAAGTAGGTCCATTGAATCATTGGATCTTATGTACCCGTATTTTTCGCTCCATAAGACGCACAGACTTTCCACCCCCCTGTTTTGTGGGGAAAAAGTGCGTCTTATGGTGCGAAAAATGCGGTATGTGTTGACTCACCAAATCCCCATTGATTCAGTTGACCTACTGTATTTGCAATTTAGTCCTGAATTTCAGCCTATGTGTTACCACTCAGATAATATGGATAAGATAGATTAATACTATGTCATAGCAAAAAGAAGTTCACTCTCTTGTATTTTTTTTTCTTCAAATTATTATGTTGAAACTAGGCATGAGTAGAACTGTTTACTTCTTTTTTATACTAAAAAATTACCAATGTTTGCAAATTTTCTTCATAAAATGTATGGAAAGATCTTAATGGTTTTTTAAATATCAAATGTGGAAAAAATGAATTAATTAATCTCAAATGATAACTGGAATGTCCTCTGTTTATCAGCCAGTTATGCAAATGCATAATAGAGTAACAGTTTGGGTACGTTGCGATTTACCAGAGAGACAAATAAACCATCTAATATAGATTTTGGAATAATGGCATATACTGTACTCCTATTTGTAGTTTCGTTTGATTTTTCATGTTCATGCTCTCACCAGGAATTTCTCATCTTACTGAGAGTTATGGAAAAATATTAGTGGTCAACACAGAAGTGTTTTTTCTGCCATTGCTTATAGCTGGTTGTTAATGCTTTTTCATTCTTTCTGTTTACAATAATAGAGTACTAATTAAGCTGTTTTTATTGCAGACTTTATGTTACAGACAACATAAAGACTCTGTTACCTGACAAATGCATTGGAGAAGTATAAATAACTCCTGCTTAAAGTCATTATGTGAAAATAATAGCTTCTATTTGGCTAAAAATAAATGTTTTTTTTTTTCAACAAATGGACTAGCCACTGCATGAGCCATTCATCACTCTTATACTCACACTAGAAATATGAAGGCACTAAAAGAAACATTATTTCCATCTATTCATTTAGATTTTATGACTGGTCTTATTTGTTTAGACATGAGAGTTGCAAAACTCCTTTTATAATGTTTATAAATGTTTATAATGTGGTTCGGTGTGAGAAATCTTATACCTACATTCAAAAAAAAATGTTTAAAAGACCAAATGATGACATTAAGTGAAGCCTATGGAGCCCCAATCGTTCCCTCATTCTAGTGTTTGCCCCTAATCAAGGAAGAGGTTTGAGTAACCAATTTTGTTTTGGTCCCAGCAAGATGAGTTTCAAGCCTGACCAAGGAAGAGCAGGCATGCGTTTGTCAAGAGGGAAAAAAAGGCAAATCCCTTCTGGCAAGGCAAAGCCAAGCAAACAAGCCAGATTCTGATGAGCAGCATCCACGCAAAACTGGTAACACCCTGGATACATATCTATAAAGTTCAGCTCGAAGAGTCAGGCGAACAGTGTTGCCCTGTCAACAAGCAGGCTCAGACTTACTCTTAAAGGGGCTTTCAGTTCTTGCCAGTTCATTCCATATCCAGTAGCAAAGCCTCTTCCTATCAAAGAGATGGCTTGCTTGAACAACAACTGTCTCTAATGTGAGAAAAGCCATAGTTTTGCTGGCCCTTCTGGACTGGATATTTTAGAAGCAGAAGGTAGCATTGCAGTTTCCTGAAGCCCAAAAACCTGTGGCCTGAGGGCATCTTTTGTACTAAAGCTAGCAGAAGAGCAAAGACACTGTGGACGGGATAACCCTTTGCTCTGAAACCCACATACATGTGGGTTTCAGAGCAAATGGTTATCCCGTCCACAGGCTTGTCCCCTGAGCACAAGGATTGTAGTTCACATTCATGAAACCTTGAAGCAACCATTTATTTAAGGCCATCCAGTTCTTTTTAGCTCCACAGGTCATTTGATCTATGTGGGATATTGAGCTGTGTAGCATATACTTTGCAATCATTACAATAGGTGTGATATCTGCAGGATCAGTACCCAATGCCTGAAAATATTAAATTAAAAAAAAACCAGAAATACGTATTTCCAAGGTGTATTAGCAGAATGGGCCGTTAGAGGGAACCAGAGACTATACTATATATAGCGTTTCTATAACTGCACTTTTGGGTATCCACAGGGGAGGGGGACTTGGAACCAATCCCCCCCCATGGATACCATGGCCCTACTTTATCTACATCATGTCACAGCATAGCAGTGATTAGGCCACTGTGTCCCTTGGCCTGTTTGCTCCCCATTAGTACAGTCCTTAAAGGACGTAACACTTGCTGCCAGAAGTCCTAATGTAAATCCAATGGTGCATTCTAACTGTAGCCAAAAAAGAAAAAGAAAAAAGACATTGCTTGAAAATCCAAATATACTGTTCCAGAGTCATTTAATCAGAATCCAGAAAAAAAAGTGTGCATGTGGCCCCCCACTGCCTTTTTATTGGGATATTGGGATAATAAACAACAACAATAAAGGGGGAAAGGTTTACAGATTGTCTAGTGACTCTCTAATTATAAGAGTCTGAGATATTAAATTGTCTTTGAGTTATATGCCAAACTGTTCCTACAATACGACCACAATACAGACACCTGTCATGAGAATTAGGAGAGAAGAAAGATATTTATATCATGCCAGGTTGTGTCAAACACATGGTTTAAAACATGTTTCAAGTACTGCTTCATTTTTCTAGCATATAGTACCATTTATATTGAATACAGTAATACATGAAGCTGTCAGTTGAGCAGTTCCACTGCTTTTCATTAAAACTCATGAACCTTAATACCAGAAAACGATGGTTTCAAGACTTCAACTTCAGTATTCACAGCATTGTAATAAATTAAGCGCACCAGGCATCTACTTGAGTAATTTGTGTTCTGTTAATCTTTTTTTCTTTTTTGAGGTGTGGGAGTGTTTTAAAGCAAATACAGTTAAGACAAGTCATGATGGTTGTTTTGGGTTTTTCGGGCTCTTTGGCCGTGTTCTGAAGGTTGTTCTTCCTAATGTTTCGCCAGTCTCTGTGGCCGGCATCTTCAGAGGCCAGCAGTCTGTGCTCTGGTGTAGTTGGCTTTGGGAGTGCAGTATTTATGGCTGTGGGATATCCACACACATAACTTTTAAAACATTATTCATCAGAAAGATTTTGGATACCTCATTTTATCTTGATTACATGTCTGCAGCAGAACTTGACATGAGATAGACTGTGTGATTAACAGACCATCAGTGTTTGTTTTATGTCAGACCAATATACTGGTACCATATTTAAATATATCCCGTGAAACAAAGTGAATTAATTATCTTTATATTTGCATTATATTATTCAGTGTCCAATTACTACAGCTGTCCCACTTTCCACCGTCTGTGCTGGTTAAAAATAATTTACTTGTTACCAACCTACAGGCTGCATGATCTAATAGAAATCTGAAGCAACAAGGTGTTTTGTGGTATCATAACGACTGAAAAGTTTTATTTGACATAAAACCATTGTACAGTGTAGCAAAAGATTGTGCCAATTAAAGTGTGTTAGTCTTAAAGGTACCACAAGACTCCTGGTTATTTTTTCTGTAACAGGCTCATACATTGGAATCCAGGAAAGTAACAGAAAATTTAGGATATGTTTCTGTTTCCCAAACTTTGTTTATAGGTTGCTCAAAATTTTCTCCAGATTACATGTTGATGGGGGCAGGGGAGAGGTTGACAGTATAGAACAGGGGTCTTCACAGTACAGTCCGCAAGTCACATCTAGCCCTCCTGGACTTTTGATCCAGCCCATCCATGCATGTGTGCACACAGACCTGTAGGTGGGCAGGTGGGAATGCGTGCGGGCAGTTGGGCGGAAGTGTGTGCATACATGCAGATAGGTGGAAGTGCATGTGTGCAGATGGATAGGTGGGAGTGCATCCATGTTGGTGGGTGGGCAGGGGTTGGGAGTGCAGGCTCTCAGGAATACCTGCAGCAGTGTGCGCACAGTCCTTCTGCCCTCGAATATATCAAAATATATTATGTGGCCCTGTGTGTGAAAAGTTTGGAGACCCCGGTATAGAAAATATTTCATGTTTTAAAGGAAGTGAGGGAGGGAAAAGGCTACTGTAAATTCAGACTTTGGTGTAATTTTTGAAGGCCTATTTGATTCTGAAGAATGAATTAACAGAAATTGTGGTCCTGTTTTGAAAAAAATAAGAATTAACGGCTGGGACTGTATACACATGTGAAACGTCTGTTTGCAAAAATTATTTATAATGAGTAAGAAAAAGAGAAGCTTTAAGTTTTCTACTATAAATAGTAGATTAATTGAACACTTTTGTTCAAGCGTTTTCATGTTACTGCATTTGTATGTGTGTATGTATGTACGTGTGCATGTATAAGAGAATGTCTTATTGTCCCAGGTGCTTCTTCTATATTCCGTATCTCTAAGAGAAAACTGATTTGCTTATATTTACTTTATTTAACTAAAAGCGCACTTTAGAAAAGTAAGATCACTGATCAGGAAAAGAAGTTAAGCATTACATGCTAATGAAATGACCTGCAATTTTCTGCCCCCCAACACCCCTCTTCTTCCTAGTCTCCTAAATCAGCATTTATCAGTGCTGCAAAAAAGGCCAGATTGAAGTCCAATCCTGTTAAAGTGCGATTCTCAGAAGAGGTGATTATTAATGGCCAAGTGTCAGTAAGTACCGAGATATTTTTTCCTTTTGGGGTGTGTGTGTGTTTGTGTGTGTGTGTGTGTGTGTGTGTGTGTGTGTGATATTTACTTACCAGTAGACAAACTGAATTGTTTCCAATTCAAATTATATAACTGCAATGCTTGTGTGAGAGCAAGGTATTTATAATGGACACCGTTTTTTAAAACCTTTAAAATACATATTTTTTAAAAAAATATTTATACAGAAGGAAACAAAAATGAAACAAAAATAATACATAAAAACCACATACTAAATACAACTGCATATAATATGCTCCTACCCACCCCCATAGGGACCATTTGGAGATATAACGTATTTTCCCTCCATTTATAGAGCCGTATTCCCCTTCCAAAACTGCATTTAGTCTTGTGAAGGTGTACAACCCTTCCCCTTTATCAATAAATTCTACCCAGATATCAGGAAAATGTTTTCATTTATCAAGCCTTTCTTTAGTTAATATTACACATTAAGTTATTATTAATTGTTATATTCCAAATTTTTTGTATATTCCAATTTTTTTGAATATAGCATATAATATATATCAGTCATTTAACTGATAATCATGCTTTATTTTCCAATTCCTTGCTCCCATTAATAAATCTGAAATTAATTATCTCATTGTCAAACTCCATTGCTCCTTGTCAAATGCTGATAAAAGCATTTATATCTAACTTAATTATTTCATTTATTTCCTTGCAAACCAACTGCCAAAATTTCAATATATTCTCACATTCCCACTATATATGAAAATAAGTACCTATTTTCCGAAATCCTCTCCAACACAACTTTAAATAATTAGTATCTACTGTATTTGGTTTATTTTCACCAGAGTTAAATACCATCTCCAAACAAATTTATAAAATTTCTCCTTTATTCTTATAGACATAAATATTCTTTTATCCCATACAAGTTATTCCATACCTCAGTATCTATTTCCTCTCCGAAATCATATTCCCATAATGTTTTTTAAAAATCTTTTTGGTCCTCTGCTCTTATTAATCTCCTGTAAATTCTACTTACTACCCTTTCTGTTGTCTTATTTTCATCTACTATACCTTTTCCTTCTGTTATACAATTTCTTCAAATCTCATAAGATTCCTATGTTCACCATTTCTTTTTATCTCATCTTTAGTTTGCATTTTTCTAATGCAAGATGAATGCGCTGGAGTACATCCAAGCAAGACAAGCCACCACTAGATATACCCACCACATATGTTTTATAGAAGTACTACGTTTATTGGATGCCAAAAGATTTTGTAATTGTAAATGTTCTGTACTATGCCAGAGGATGGCTAATATGCAGATTCATTGTTGGAAAACGATAAGAGAAATTCTCGGTCACTACCTATCACTTGCTGTAACATATACAGTAAATCTCAAACTCAGTCAATTTTTCCCAAAATTGTTTCACAATTTTCAGATCAGGATTATCCCATAGAGTTCAGTGTGTGCATATGGATTACATTTTAATTGACAGGAAATGGTTTGCAATGCCAGCTAAAATTATAAGTGGGCGAATGTCTTTTATTGCTGCATGAAGAGACCCTAAAGTGAGTTATACAAAAAGCCGTGTCAAAACAGGTTGATTCCATAATTGCCCATGAAGCATTATTTGGTTGAATCATGTTTGCTAATGAGGTGTATGGATTAAAAGTTATAGCAAATTGAATCCAACTTCTGAAAATGACAAATGGATCTTCTTGAGTGAAAAAATGAGGAAGTGAAGCCCCAATAAAAAACTTCCTAAATGCCATGTTAATTTGTTGAAAATAACTTTAAGAGATATTAAATGGGATGACATGAAGGACATACAGTATCTGTACCAAAACATTCATTATAAGCGTATTCACTTCATCCCAGATAGTTAATTTAAGTGATGCCCATAATGGACTAAGTAACTAAACCACGACAGGCATAAGTACCAATTTATTTTTATTTTTTGAAGTAGAGATATTCAAGATTTATTGAATGGTTTAACAGTATAATCACAGTACAGTTTCCCCACTTATTTGTACCTTCATAGATTTTATGCATAGCTACTTGCTAGAAGAGTTCTGTACGTTAAAATCATGCCTTGTTTGGAAAAAACAACTACATGGCAGAGAGTTGGATTGCTAGGTCATGGAGCACTGGCTGGTCTGAGGAAACTTAGATATCCGTAGTTCTCCAGGCAGGGAGAAAATTTCAGGGTGAGTGTTGCTGCAGAAGGAGAAAGTGTGAATTCATCCTGTGCACTAACTTTAATACCTAGGCATCCATCTTCTCTTCACCCTCAGCTGGCAACTTGGATTATTGGCTCGGAGTGAAGGTGTTCATACATGTGTTTTAGAGCTAGTGCAAGAAGTAAACATTGTCTCAGACAGTCTCTCTCACAAAGAGATATATTATTTTGCAGTGGTCACACAAGGGTTCACCTCCCGTGTAACCATGCATTTTAATCTCTGGTTTTGGCCCTGAAATCTCAGAGAATGAGAAGTTGTGGAGCTGGTGACACTTCCAGAGAGCAATCTTCATGATGAAATTCATCTATGTAAAATTTCATATGATGCTATGATGGGAAAATCCTGTTCTCTTTTCAATGCATTTTCCACAAGGAGCATGATTTTGAAGGAAACATATTTTTTTTCAGACAAGCAGATCTGAGGTAGTACCAACACAGGAGAGGATAGTGGTCAGTCAGCCCTAAGGCATGTTGATCAGCACTTCAAAAGATCCTCTGAGGGTCAGGAGAATACCCTGAGTAAAAAGGTGTTGCAGACAGTACCACAGTAAGGTTATTGCTCCCTGAGACATTTTAATAATTTAAAGAACTCTGTTATGAAACCAAGGACACAATGAAGTGTTTGGTTCTTAGTAAAGTAAACAACATTTCAGTATAAATATTTCATAGGCAATCATCTCTTAATACAGGAGCAGTGGAATCCTTGCTATCAGAGATCAGCGTTGCTTGAGTTTTACATCTGGCTGCTTTGGAATTCAGCTTCCACATTTTGTCCTTCCTCCATTTCTGTGAAGAATATGCAAACATTAATTAGACAGTTCAATATGATTTATTCCTCCCCCCCCCGTCCTTTCCATGAGCTATTCTGCAGCAAAGTTTGCTCTCAGTTGTTGGTTTGCATTTGTAATTTTCTAGAAGAAATGGGACATGATAATTGCTGTGCAGTATCATGCCAGGGGTTTGTTGAGCATCTCATGCTGTGCTGGGTAGAGCAGGGATGTACAGAAGAATGCAAACCGAAACAACATGCAATTTTCTTCCCCTTCCTATCATTTTTATTCCACAAACACACCAGTGCTTAATATATTTTTTAAAAAATGTTTCATACAGTGGCACGTTGTGCAAAAGGAACTGTTGGTGGAGGAACCCCAACTGCTGAGGAAAAAAAGCTATATAAAAACTGAGACTGTTTACAATATTTCACTAATTATTTACAGCCATGTGATGAGCAATCAGCATTAGGATTTTACCATCTCAGGACAGAGAACAGTTCAAATTTTGTGTCTCCATATGAGGCACTAGGAAGCAGCTCCATACTGCAATTAGAAATGTAACGACTGATTTTGCTTTGTAAGAGATAATGGGCTCTGTTTCAGATGATAGCAGGACACTGTTGTTTATCTACATTGCACTATCCAAAGATTTAGACTACCATTTTTAGACTTGTAATATAAGAATGCTAATCACAATTTATTGCTCTTCAACAGGAAACAGTAAAAGATAATTCACTTCTTTTCATGCCAAATGTTCTGAAGGTGTACCTTGAAAATGGGCAAACCAAATCTTTTCGCTTTGATTGCAGTACTTCAATAAAGGTAGGCTCACTTTTCAGAAATTTTACTGTATGTTACTGCTACTTGAGACAGGTGAAATATTGTAATCAAGACCTTGTGAACAAGCCTCCTTAACCAAACTGCTTTGAAAAGGCCCTTCAAATTTTTCACTATGAAATTCTCATGAACATATTCCAAATCCCTACTATGAAGTTTCCTCATAGCCAATTTTGTGGAGTGTGAATTGAGGACCTGGTAAGGTTTGAATTGTTTTTATGCTCATAAAATCAAATGTGGTTTTCAGTAATTCAAAACTAGGGGTGATCAGCTTAATGGCTGCACCTTAATGAAAATTGCATGGTCTTCACTATGAAATTCTGAGATGCTGCCAAAAAAGTGAGCCTGGTGTTCCAACAGAATGAATGCATAGTGAAACATAAGATATTGGTTGCTAATTTAATAACTTGAAATCTGTTAAACAATATGTGTGCTAGAGTTGCGACGATGGTAATTTTTTCTCTCCATAGTCGTGAATTGCCTCCTACAGTTCTGTAAAATATATCACAACCTAAATAACAAGGTGAACTTACAAAGTATGTTTCATAATGTGAGAAGACAGCCAAGAGAAAATGGCCTTCTCAGATATTTTTCAGAGAGCAAATTCCCTCATGATCTGCTACATGGTATGATTCAATGAGGTTGTGCAGTTGCTGCATTTTGCAATTGGTCATGGTTTAATATGGTATTCAATAGATGTTTCATGTTTTAGAAATACATGCCTTATTAGAATTGTATCCTTCCCTGAAATATAAGTGGGAAAGAAGTCAATGCTATTCACTCATTGCTGCTAAACCAGAGATGAACAAAGTGTGCCACCAAAGCTGTCTGTGGCCTCCCAATATTATTTCTGAGATTCCAGATGTCACTCTGTTGAAAAAGAATTGGCAAAAACACTTGGGACTCCTGGAAGACTCCAGGAGTGGTAGTTTTGCCATGAAATCGGATACAAGCTCCCTTTCTCTCCTAAAACCCAAACCCACAAAAATAAAACTGGAAGTGGACTCCAGCAATATACATTTCTGACTTACCATATATATATATATTGCTCGATTGCAGGGGCTCTGAGAGTGAAAAAAAGGGCTCCCAGACCCTCCCGCATTGCCCACTTGCACTAAATGCAGAAGGATGCCCCATTGCTACAATATCTGGATTCTTTAAATCTGCAACACTATTAGAAACCACTGGCAGGGTCCTCTTGTGATCCAGCAAAGTGTTAATTCTCTTCCCATAAAGTTTCACATCACTTCCAGCTAGCAATCAAGCAAGGCAAAGATCAGCCCTTTGGAATGAATGGGGCTTGTGCTCACACAACAAAGTACTGAATAACTCCATGTGCAAGTTTGGAGACTATTGAACCAATCATGCAAAGGAACAGAAGTAATGGACAGGATTCTGCTCTGACTTTAGGATAGGCTGCTAGGAATTTTGCCCACCATGCCTAAATATTTTTGTGGTACAATAATTGATGCAGAGGGAGTTAGGTATCAGTGGTACTGGTATTTAGAGTTGTGTGGAGGTTGGATCCTTGCCTGCCTGAGCCTTCACCTCTGCCAGCATTTTTATTTATTTGATTTGTTTTCCTCACCACCCTCTTAGTACAGCTTAAGACAACACAATGATGTCAAGAGTATGGTTTCCCCTCCAGGTACACAGTCTTTCCTGTGTCTCCCCCTCATGTCTTCTCTCCATCTCTCACATTTCACATTTTCATTCACTTGTTGACTCAAATTACTTTTTCTGTGTATTCTATATCTTTTTGTTCAACCTCCTTTTCTAAAATGTAACTAAATGTTTCAGTACATTTAGCGTTTTACTATGTGGGGAGCATAGACATTACAACATTGCCAGAAAATCAATCTAACTAGACCTCAACTACAGTGGTGCCTCGCTTAACGATGTTAATTGGTTCCCAAAAAAACATTGCTATGGGAAAACATCATTAAGCAAAACATCATTTCCAATAGGAATGCATTGAAAACCGGATAATCCATTCCAATGGGAACGGATTACCATCCTTAAGCGAAAATCACCATAGGAAACATCGCTAAGCGAAACAATTGGAATGCATTGAAGCCTATTCAGTGCATTTCAATGGTTTTGACAGGTCCGTTTTCACTATTTTTAAGGTGTCTTAAAATGTTCAAAAACTGTTTTAAATGCTTGGGATCGTCAGTGCACCTTGTAAAACCTTTTCAAACTTAATTTGGCTTTGTTCTGAGTCTTCGTTAATTTTTGGTGAATTTTTTCTCCCCCATTGGAATGCATTGAACTGTAGGTTTGACAGGTTTGATATGGAGGCAGTGACAGATTTTACTTTCTTGGGCTCCATGATCACTGCAGATGGTGACAGCAGCCATGAAATTAAAAGACGCTTGCTTCTTGGCAGGAAAGCGATGACAAACTTGGACAGCATCTTAAAAAACAGAGACATCACCTTGCCAACAAAAGTCCACATAGTAAAAGCTATGGTTTTTCCTGTAGTGATGTATGGAAGTGAGAGCTGGACCATAAAGAAAGCTTGGCCGCCGAAGAATTGATGCTTTTGAATTGTGGTGCTGGAGGACGCTCTTGAGAGTCCCCTGCACTGCAAAGAGAACAAACCTATCCATTCTGAAGGAAATCAACCTTGAGTGCTCACTGGAAGGACAGATCCTGAAGCTGAAGCTCCAATACTTTGGCCATCTCATGAAAAGAGAACACTCGCTTGGAAAAGACCCTGATGTTGGGAAAGTGTGAGGGCAAGACGAGAAGGAGACGACAGAGGACGAGATAGTTGAACAGTGTCATCAAAGCTACCAATATGAATTTGACCCAACTCCGGCAGGCAGTGGAACACAGGAGGACCTGGTGTGCTCTGGTCCATGGAGTCACGAAGAGTCGGACATGTCTTAACAACTAAACAACAGCAAAGTCACATTAAATTTAGTGGTGCTGGGTAGACTTATATTGGATTACACTTTAAACAAATTATTCAAGTTCCCACAGTCAAAATGATTTTATTAACCAATGTTCTTTTAAATCAGTTAGTGATGCATCTTCCACCAGAACTGAATTCACCAAAACAGAAGTAATTTCCAAGCCTTAAACAGTGACCTAGATTTCCTTCAGAAAGAAATAGAAAATTGCAGTCTTTATGGATGGATGGACAATTATGAAAGAAATCAGAACAGCATTTAGGCAAATTGGTATTTAATTGTTATTTTAGAAGCAATAACACTTACCTAAAGTTAAAGATTGATGTATAACATTATTTAACAGTATCCCCTCAGACACTAACCCTTCCAACTCTATTTTTCTATGATTCTGTAATTTAGTAATGGAAAAATACCAAGGATATTAGTGTTGAAAGATGTCCTTTAAAAATGAAACCATTTCCACTTTATAGTGGTTGCAATGATAATGATTATTGAGGAAATGCAACAGAGGGGATGTTTATGGAAATGTGTCTGTGATGAGATTAAGGAGCTGGGGAACATTAACAATGTAATGTATCTTATGTGTGAGACTGTAAAGGGCATGAGAATATGAATTTACAGCCCCTGGAGGCAGCTGGTTCACACCTTTTTCTGTCTTTTGTTCTTGTATCTTCTGTCCGGAGTGCTGAGATCAAGAGGACTTCAAAGAGGAGACTAACACTTCCAACTGTATCTTTGCATATCAAAGCAGGCACCAATTGTCCTTGCAGTATGCAGTTTTCAAAGCTGGGAAGGGGGCATGTAAGAATGATCTAAGCAGATTAAGAGTAGTAGCCTGATGGTCGGCCAGGTGTTAATGGGTCATCCAGCTGTATAAAGGAACCTTGGAGAGGTGGATTCCTTTCTCTCACTCTGGGTCCTTTGGGAGGGGGCGATTCCAGGCAAGACTTTTCCCCATTCATGGACATTCCCTGACTCATGAGGAGAACTTTGCAAAGCTGTGCCGGGTAACAAAGAGATTGTCTCCCCAAATCAGAGTAACCTATTGTTTATGATTCCCTGGTGTGCCTCTGTTCTGTATACTGTCATCCAACAACCCATTTGCTTTTGTAACTGGAAGTGTTTTTCTACTTTTTGAATTGTTTGCTTTTCCCTTTATCCTAATAAATTTTACGAACCCATCTCAGGAAAGAGGAGAGGTGTAATACTAAAATTCAGAACTTTAACCTTGACCAGGCTACTAAAATTGGTAATATTGATTTACATGAGAGCTGGTGGCGGCCTGGCACACTTTTAAGAACCCCTGGAGCACTCATGGCCTTGCAGGCTGAAGGCACCTTGAGGAGTGAAAACATTCCAACAAACATCAACAGAGCATGGACAAAGTTCCTACTCCAGTCCTCTGAAGATGCCAGCCACAGAGACTGGCGAAACGTCAGAAAGAACAACCTTCAGAACACGGCCAAAGAGCCCGAAAAACCCACAACAACCATTCCAGCTAGGACGCATCGCCTTTCCCCTACCCTACCTCCTTGTTCTCTCCCAGAGACAGCAGGAGGTAGCATGCCATAGCAGTTATACAGGAGTCCAGCTGGTGGGATCTGTGACAATGTCCATAAAAGCAGATTTGAGCTGCAATACCCTCTTCCTTATAATATTCAGTTTAACCCAACAACATGACATCCTCATTATTCTGACTGTTGCCCCATTCTATATCATATCACTGATTTGTGTTCCACCAAGTGTACAAAAGAAGGTCTAGCAAATGGCTGAGATAATGCTATTGAAGTAGCCCACTCCTGGTTAAAAAATAGTCTAATTTATCTTAACATTTTAATTTGTTTTAATTTTACCTATATTTCATATGCGTACATAATTTTAAATTGTGCTATGCTGTGGTATAAATAAAGAGAGAATGGTGTGTCTGGGATGTGATACAATGGTACCATGTTATGCCTTGCGATAAAATAAACATTGGTCAGTATCCTATCATGACAACATCGAACTAAAGGGCAGCCATATAAGAATCAACCCCTGGTTTCCCATTGCACTCCCTGGGTTCCCATTGCACAATTGATCTGACAACCAGTTCAAGAATGTGAGAGTGTGCCTGCCACAGCAGGGGGAGATGCTTACACAATTGCCTTTCCACTCCATGTTTAGACAATAGGTTATTGGCCATTATCTGGAAGAGAAACCATGAGACACAGATTGATGATATTTCCACATCTTGAGGAAATCCTATTCTTTTCTGAGTATGGAAAGAAATAGCCCAAACATAGGAGCTGATGGAGGTGGAGGAAGCCAAGCAGCAAACATACATCTTCAGGGCAGAGAGATGAAATGTAGAACTGAAAAGTCACTATGGATATTGACACATTGAGCTAAAGTTAATTGTAACTGAGGCCACAATTATTGAATTCAGTGGGAGTTACATGGGAGCACACATGCATAGGATTTGAACTGCAGGCCCCTTCGAAAAGATGGAAAAATTGAGATGGAATTCACTTAATTCCCATTGATTTTAATGGGACTTGAGGCACAACTCTGTGCAAATATGTCACCTTGTGAATCCCTTTCGTGGCAAAAACGTGACACACAAACTGTATAATTAAGCTTCATGGAGTTCAGTGGGGTCTTTCCTAAGTGAATAATATAGAACTGGAACCTTAGGCTTCAATTTTATGCTCTCAGTTTAGGTTTGCTTGAATGCAACAAGACTTAGAATAGACATGTATAGCTGCAGATCCCAACTATATATATTTATCTCTTCTTCGTTCTTTGTTTTTCATACCTCTGCTTTAAAGGATGTCATCTTAACACTTCAAGAAAAACTCTCCATTAAATGTATTGAACATTTTTCATTGATGCTGGAGCAGAAAACCGATGGGTCTGGAACCAAACTTCTTTTGCTACATGAACAGGAGACTCTAACTCAGGTTGGTGTAAGAGGGCAGTTGCATGTCTTCACAAGATACTGTTGTTGTTTTTTTACCGTGAACCTGTTCAAACAAAACCCTTGCCTGATTGTTTCGCTAATACCACAATCCATCCACTTCTGCTGTGATAAATGGTGATGCACAAAACACCACTGGGGGACTTCATTTATTAGATTGTTAGGGAAGATTAAGCCTATTCTGCTGCCTGACACTGTGGGATTCTTGGAAGTACTTGGTTCTGGCCTAATTCTGCTGTCACTGGAATCAATTGCTATTTCCTTTGCAGTTTTGTTTTGAAAAAGACTACCTTTTTAAAGAGTCACTAATGGCTTGTTAGCACTTCCCTCTTTGTTTGTGTGTGTGCCTACCTTTTAAAGATTAGAAGGCAGCTTGTTAGAGGAAGATAGAGAAGTCTATTATAAACTGGGAAAGTATATAATAAGCACTGGCCAGAAAAAGCAAAACTGTTCTCTAAATTGGAGAATGCCACCAATTTTCTGTCAAATAGAGGGACATAGTAGGGTGCACTTCAGACAAAGGGCCTATCCAGACAGGGGAATTTGAAGTGGTCTGGTTCACACTTAATCTCTCACTTGAGCGATCCTTCTGTTTACACCCGAGTTATTTATTGTATAGTGGTACCTTGACTTACGAACTTAATCCGTATTGGAACTGTGTTCGTACGTCAAAAAGTTCGTAAGTCAAGGCAAACTTTTCCATAGGAATGCATTGAAAACCATTTAATCCATACCTGCTGTTTTTCATTCATACGTTGAGGTGCTGTTCGTAAGTAGAGGCATTTGTTCCAATAGGAACTAATGCAAAGCTGGTAAATCCATACTCTACCACTAGGGGGAGAATTTTTTTTATTTTTTTCTTCTTTTGACCTAAGATGGACTTAGGTCAAAAAAAGAGCAGGAAAAGATGTTTTTTTGTTTGTAAGTCAAGGCTCCGTTCACAAGTCAAAGCAACATTTTGCGAATGGAGCCATTTGTAACTTGAAACGTTAGTAAGTGGAGACGTTCGTAAGTCGAGGTACCACTGTACTTGGAGAAGGGTCCACACAAGTCTTTGGATTGCCAGTTTACTTGTGAGTAAGGGGGCAAAAGCAGAGGGTGTTGGCAGTGGGGCAAGCTTGCAGCAGCACTTCTGACATGAGGAAAATATTGAGGTGAAGATTGGCAAGATGGAAGGGGGAAACCCCCTTTTTCCTTTCTTTCTCCTTAGCTGGGATTCTTTTGGGGCTGTGCTGCCTTGTGGGGATAGACCCCATGGAGTTGACATTGCTCCTTTCCCCATCTTTTCTTTCATTCATCCAGCTGCAGTAGCTTTCTTGCATGGTATTAGTACACTGTGTCAGTTAGGGAAATATTAAAAAGAAGATGATGAAAATAGAGGAGGGGGTTTCTCCATCTTTCCTTTTAATGCCACAACCCACCTATTACATCACAGCATTGTTACCTCAAACAACGTCACCCACAGCTCCACACAGGCTATACAGTGTGGTAATTAGGATTGTGCTGAATTGTACCAAAAAGAATACATGTCCTAGCGCTGTGCCAGAAAGGTGTCTGACAGCTCTTAAAGGGACAAGACAAATCTATCTAAGTAGAAACACCAAACCATACCAACAGCAGTCTCTATACTAATCTATATACCAAACAGAAAGGTGTCTGACAGCTCTTAAAGGGGCAGGACGGATCTATCTAAGTAGAAACCCCAAACCATACCAACAGCGATTTCTATACTAATCTATATATCAGTCTGAACAGGTCCAAAGTTAAGCATGTTTGCATCTCGTCCATTTCAACTGGAGAGATTTAAGCATAAGATTGTGTGCTGTTGGGTCACCTCCTTGTCCCCCAGACAACCTGCTGGCAGTTTTTACAATGGCACTTTTACACTGAAACAAGTGGGATCTTAAAGTTGCTTCACAACTGACAAGAAAGTCGGTGACAAGTCTGAGGAATGAATGATATAAGAAGTACAGTTGTGGCGTATGTAGCAGCTGTACTACTCTTAAAAATATACATTGGCATCTGGGTTGCGAGTCTAGATGAATGAAGAAATAGACATGGCTGGTTTGCTCGGTCATTTATGTGCTGTGTTACAAAGGCTGTGATCTAACACAAGGGCACTGATTTTCTAGGTGACCCAGAGACCAAGCTCCCATAAGATGAGGTGTCTCTTCAGAATCAGTTTTGTCCCAAAGGATCCCATTGACCTTTTACGAAGGGATGCCGTTGCCTTTGAATATCTATATGTGCAGGTAAGTTACAAAGCTTTCATATATGCTGAGGCAAGTCGGGCAGGGTGTCTTTCCTTTGAGTGTAATTTTTTTTTAAATGTGTCCTTATAGTCAAGATGATCTTACTTTCCAAATGTTTTGGTTATGATGGAAATGGCATTAAAAATAACACACTGGCTTACAGGATCACTTGGGATACAGGCAACACTGAGGCAAATTGGGTTCTATTGCTAATTGTACATATTGATTACATTTCTATTCTATTCTCCCTATAAGGAGTTCAGCCCCCTCCCCACCTCATAATTTTAAAAAATCAAAGAAGTTAAGCAAAGGATCGATAACACATGGTCTAAAAGCTACTATGAGCCTCTTCAGACTCTTTTTTAACTACCCTCCGTGCCCACCACTACAAAAAAACCCAACCTACATAGTTGAACATTGGCAGGGGCATCGCCATGTAGGGAAGGGTTCTTCTTGCCTTCCCTTTCTGTGCCCTGACTCCAGCAGGGCTGTATACAGCAAGTCAGGGAGTTTCCAACCACTTTAGCCCCCCCCCCCCCCGCCACACAGGTTATCCACACCTGGATTAAGCTGTGCAGAATGACTGATCAGCATCATTGAGTGAGCTGACAGACGTAAGTAGGGATGTGGATTTGGGTCTCTGTGATCCTGTCCTGTGTTCTTTACCTCTTTTGATACTTTCCAACTCAATTGCTGTAGCCCAAAGTCCTCAAATAAGACAGGTTTATTATTTAACAAATCTTCAGTTTCATTTGTAGGCATGCCTTCAGGCTCTAGTTTCAACAGTAAGGCATAAGTCTTAACTTTCTCAAAACACAACAAATCCCCTTTGAATGACTGGGGTGAAGAACTCGTAACTCCCCAGTTCTATTTACTGTAGGTATGGGGCCCGATAGCTCAGGTGCCTGGTTCATTAACCTTATTGCTGAGGGTGGTAAACCCAGCCCACCTGTGGCTCCCAGACCTTCTTGCCCGGGTGTTGCTTCATGCTTGGTTGGAAGGGAATGGCCCCACGGGATCTCCCAGGGTTCTCCATACGTCTCCTTTGCTCTCGCCTCTGGGCCTCTCTTTGCTGCCAGGCTTTGTATTTTTTATGCTGCTTTTTTTTGTCTCCCCCCCAATAAGATGGTTTTCTATACACTTGTCTCTTCCATTCCCTTTCTGAGGAACTTGAACTCTGTATTCACGAAGGCTTTCACAGCCGGAATCTAATGGTTGTTGTGGGTTTTTCGGGCTCTTTAGCCGTGTTCTGAAGGTTGTTCTTCCTAACGTTTCACCAGTCTCTGTGGCCGGCATCAGAGACTAGCAAAACGTTAGGAAGAACAACCTTCAGAACACGGCCAAAGAGCCCGAAAAACCCACAACAACCCACTTGAACTCTACCTACTCTTCTGTCCAAGGATCTTCTTGGACTATCTCTACCAAATCCTCCTCTGTTTCTACCTTCTTCTCCTGTGCCCAACAAACTTCCTTCCTCCTCCTTTTTTGAACTGTCCTCCTCTTTTTTATCACCCTCTTTTATAACTTCCTTCTTTCCCACCAAATTGGCGTCTTCTGGTGTTTGGGATTTTAAATGCAACTCCTGTAACTCCCCCACAAGGTTTGGCCAATCTTTCTCGGTCTTTCTGCTGGTAGAGACAGACGGTACACTCTGCGGAGTGCCTTTGGAGGTACTCCCAGCCTCATAGTCTCCTCAGCCCAAACCTCACACTTTGTCTACTCCACCAAAGGCTCCAGAATCCCCATAGCCTCTTAAAGAGGAAGCAAGGGGAAGACATAGTTAGTAATCTGTTTAGCTGGTCATGTGTGGAGTTCTTGGCCTACTGTATCTTTACCCTCCATACCACATTCTTCAACCCATCTGTTGGGTTCCCTCTAGTTTTTGCCTGTCCTCATCTAGCTGCAGAACTGAAGAAGACTATTTTACAAGGCCCCACTGAAGGTACTGAAAAGTGTTGTTTGAACACTCAAGCCCTTTTATCTAAGGAGCTACAGACTTAAGACCCTTACTTTTTAGCTCAGCAGAACCAAGGGACAGTTTGGTGAAAACAATCACATGACCTTTTATTCAGTACATAGGAGGAGGGAATCAGCCTCCAGATCTTTTGAACTGTAATTCCTGTTATCGTTGTTTCTAACAATCAATTTCTATACCACTTATCATGTCTAAATGTTACTGCAAAGTGATGATCTCCTACCAGTTCTAAACATTAGCCATGAATGGATTGGGCCAATTAAAGCTGTGGGCCAAATATCTGGAGAGTCAAAAGTTCCCTGCCCTTATTGTAGGAATTGGCTAGGACATTCCACTTCTTGTAGAGACAAGAGTGATATGAGATCTAAATTCCTGCTCCTTTCTCCCATTTGGGTGATGAAGTTCTAACCTGTTGTGCTTGGCATGGTAGGTAAAAAAAAAAAACCCCTGTGTGTTCTCTGCACATGGAAAAAGAATGAGGACATAATCTAGTAGCTCCAATTTAACAAACTCCATATTATGTGTCAACATATCCATGTGTTTTTTATAGGTACATCTCACTTTGTGATCTTCAGAGATTTTTGGATGGCTCATGTGGCTGTCACAATTCTTGTTAATTATAAGCTTGCCTTTTAGAGAAGAATTAGTCATAATGCAGGTGTTTTGTGTTTAAAATCAGAGATTGTTGAGCCTGATACTCCCTCTGCTGGTTTTTTTGACAGAGCTGTAACGATGTGGTTCAGGAGCGGTTTGGACCTGAGCTGAAATATGACATTGCACTGAGACTGGCTGCATTACAAATGTATATTGCCACTGTGACCACAAAACATACACAGAAAATCTCTCTGAAATACATTGAGTAAGTCTATACAATGCAAATTCTGAAATATATGGAGTATATGTCTATTGCTCTGCCAGCCAAAGTTGTGTTTCCAATAAACTCTGCTGTAAATGACTAGTAAAATCTAATGCTTTGATGGCTTATTCAGCAAAGTCTCACATTTAACCTTAATGAAAAGTTAAGCCGTGTGTTATGCATTTGGGATTGATAGCTAATTCACCTTAAGATAGTACTGTTATTATTTAAGTCTTGCCATATCACTAGAACCTTTGCCCCACCAATATCACTTCCTATTTACTGACCAAAATCCTCTTGGCTAGTTACTCTGGCATAATACAAAAGGCCATACCTTAAGAAGTCTCTATAGACATTATCTGTTGCATAATGAGCCATGCTGCAGTATAGAACCGATAGTGTCTATGGAGATTTCTTAACTTCAGGAAATTTGCCTCCAAAAGTTGAGCCTTTTGCATAGCTATGCAAGAGAATTTTGGCCAGTATTTTAATTTATCTTTGCCATTAAGATGATAACACTTCCCTCTACTCTGTTTGTGATGTCATAAATGAAACAGTAAATTAGGGGGAAAAAACAAAAATAAAAGACAAGTACTGGATTAAAGGACTCTGTTCTCTGTTCAAGACAAGTATCCATAGTACAGTGATAAATATGCATACCACTCAGCTGTAGACGGGTAGATTTGCAAGGACTCTTTGCAGTGTTCCAGACAAAATAATCTTCAAATCCTGAGAAAGAGTGGGATCTCTAATGTATGAATGGTTATTCCTCTCCCTTCCGATGGGCAAATGTGATCTTGCAGCTGGCAGTTCTGATGATTCCAGTGACATTATCACGTACACCCAAGTGCTTAACTGTTGCCTTACATAAGTTATCATATACAAATAAAGCAGAAACTTTGTGTCGTGCAGTCTATACCAGACTACTGACTGAAGCCAGATATACGGTAGGTATCATATCACTGCCCTGCTATGACAGCTGTGCTGGCTACCAGTCCATTTCCAGGTCCAATTTAAAGTACTGGTTATAACATATACTGTTCAGGTCCAAGCTGTCTGAAGGACCTTCTCTCCTTATATGAGCCTTCCCAGGTCTCAAGGTCTTCAGAAGAGGTCCTTCTCTGAATCCCATTGCCACAAGTGAGGGCCTTCTTTGTGGCTCCTCCCAGGTTAACCTCCCTTGTGAGGTTAAGTTGACCCCTGCCTTTTATCCCCAGGTTATGGAATGCTCTCCCTTGTGAGGTTAAGTTGACCCCCGCCTTTTATTCTCCCATAAACAGTTAACAACTACCTCTTCAGGCAGGCTTTTAATAACTACGATTGAGTCACTGGGTGTTGGGTTTTTGTTCTTCTCAGTGTGTTTTCAAAGTTTTTAAATGCTTTTAAGTTATAATTTAATGATTTGTAATTACTGCAGCATGTTTGATTCTTTTGTACTCTTGTAATTTATTGTGTTTTTACCAGTACATGCTTTCAACATTGTAAGCTTCCATTGTTCCCTTACTTGGAGAAAGGCAGCCTAAGCCTACAATTAATTGATTAATTAATTAAACTTGGAATTGAATTTTGTTTTCAGGGGTCATTGGATTTAAGTGTCAAAAATAAATAAATAAATAAATAAATAAATCAATCAATCAATCAATCAATCAATCAATCAATCAATCAATCAATCAATCAATAAGATATCACCGTGGGGAGGGAGGCGATGATAACTTCCTCAATGGCTCAAGGGGGCGCTTCTTTCAAAAAGGTTAAGAACCACTGCTGTAAATCATCATTATGCATTAGTCCTAGTTAGCCAAATCTTAATATTTCAAACATAACATGTCTCCATTGTTGGTTCAAATGAAGAGCAGTTAAGTGAGTTTACATTAAGTACTGTAGGTTTTGAGTATCTAAAGGTTTCTCCATGTATTCTGCCAGTGTGAACTAATGCCTAGGTATCTCTGTGTCATCAGAAATATCTTAGATATCTGCATATCATCATCAGTGGCCACTTGTAATGTTTAGTAGTGCCTTAGTGGCTTTACAGGTTAAATGGATGTCCATCGGCCAAGAACAGCTTATGTGCTATATCTACAATGTACAACAGGTTCCAGATTCCATGTATTTGACATACTGCACTGGCTGACTTATGTAACAGTACAGTCGAGATGGCAGAACCAGTGCAAGGAAAAAAAACCCACGTACAACTTTAACACTCTGGCAGAATAATTATCAGAGTCAGTTTTGCCATTAGGTATAAAGAGGTGCCTGCCTAAAGCAGCAAGTGCTAGGAAGCAGCAAATGGCTTGTCTGTGCCTGTTGAGCCGCATGGCCATCTCCCTCTGTTGGACACCAGAGCTCTATATAATCTTAGAACTGCAGAGCTAGAATAGGCACTCTGGATTGAGTCCAGCTCCTGTTAAGGAGGCACCATGGGGAATCTAACTTCCAAACGCTGGCTCCGCAGCCAGAGACCTAAACCCACTAAGCTGTCCAGCAGTTCACATGCCATTTAGCTTCCCCTGCTCTCCTAAACTGGCCTGCTATCCTCAAGACTGGTACAGAGTACTGTTCCATTGTCAATGCTCAACTGGTTTATGTTTACAATGGGAGAAGCAACACACACCTATTCTTTGCCACAGACAACAATTCATCCTGACTATTATATCAAAGCCATCTCACACACTGATATGTCAAGAAGCTTAGCAGCATTAAAAAAAATTATAGCTGCAGGCTTGGAGTATTTGGATATATACTTAAATCTAAAGATTGGTGGCCAAAATTATGTTGCACAGGCTGCTTTCCCAGTTTTTTGATCCTGTCTTGTGCCCAGGCCGGCAACAAAGTACAGTACACAAACCAAGGGTGCAACTCTGGCATGTTCCAGCACCAGCTAGGATTAACTTGCACGGCAGTTACATAATTTCTACTACGCCATTGTAATAGGATTTTGGCTGATCATTTAAGGAAGTTTACAGGAGGAGAATTCCTGTTCCCTTTTCTCCCTTTCCCCTGCAGCCAGAAATGACTCTCTCAAAGCTCAGAGGGACCCACGCTTGAAAAGGTGGGATGAGAGGTGGGAAGCTGCTCAGGCAGGTTTGTAACAAGAGCTGTAAGCCACAGCTCCTGTCTTGATGATAGAAACTCTGCTCCTCCTGAACCATTTAAAAGCTACACATCTCAGACTTAATATTCTGAGATGTGCAGCCAGCCATTTGAAATGGCAATGCACCAAAGCCAGGCCAATGGCCCTTAGAGGCTTTGTTTAGTTTATTTTTCACAACTTTATCAGAATCCCATTTGTGTTGGTTTTGCCCAGTTGAACAACTCCCTAAATCATGTAGAAAGCCATCATATTTAAAGGGAAGTTCAGTGTTGTTGGCTAGAGATGGAGTTTATTGTACTTTTTGTATTTTTATGGTATGTATTACGTTGTTTTTATCATATGATTTATTGTAAATTGTGACCTGCCCAGAGAGTTAACACTAACATGGCCATATAGTAGAATGAATGAATGAATGAATGAATGAATGAATGAATGAATGAATGAATGAATGAATGAATTCCCGCCACTTCCATTTTCAGTATTCATCCACACTAACATCTGCATGTGTAAATAAACATTTTACTTTCATGTTATTTTGTAAATATAACCATGATATGTAGCTTTACAGCAAAAGGCAACATATTTTGTTTTTCTGTCATTTAAATTATTTTATTTTCCTGTTGAACGGTGTGTTCTGATGGGCCCACTTGCACTGTCTGGGCTTCACCATAGAACTGTGTTCCCTTAGGCTTGGGAATGTCATCCAGTTCAGGTAACTGTCAGAGGACTGTGAAATTAAAGCTATGTCTTGTATTGCAGAAAAGAATGGGGACTGGAGACTTTTCTTCCTTCTGCTGTACTGCAGAGCATGAAAGAAAAGAACATAAAGAAAGCGCTTTCACATCTTGTCAAAGCAAATCAAAACCTAGTTCCTCCAGGTAAAAAGGTAATGCATTTGCAACTTAATAGAAGTATATTTTCATAATCAGGAGAGCTTCATCCAGAGGAAAGAATTTAAAATCAGTCCTTTAGAGAACAACTCAACTGGGCAGTGATTGTTCAGAGGTTCGTTAAACTATACAATGTCATATTTCAAATTTGATTAAAAAGAACCGGTTCAGCAAGACCATTTGTTTTGTCTTGAGAAAATGGTGCAAAATGCTAGTTAACCACAAGGGCAGGTTTCCTTTTGCTTCTGCATTTTGTAACAAGACTGCTTGAAAATTACTTTCTCTGTTCTGAATTTGCATTACTGTGGGAGCCAGCTACAGTCACACAACTTTCTCATTATGGAATCCATTGATTTCTGTGATATTTCTCGTACCTGTTGAGCTAGAGTATCCTAACACAATGGTTTGCCTTTGACATAAATGGATTGGGGGTGGGGCTTCAGCTTCCTGAGATTCCTGTCATATGGGAGATATTTGTTGTTGTTTCTCTCAGATATACAGATCAGTGGAAAGCAAAGCACGCTTTAGTTCTTCTAATTCAATGACAGTTTGAAAATGAAAACATACTTAGCTCTTTTCCACTGAAATTATTGAGACATAAAGGCTGAAATCCTGTTAGTATAATTCCAGGGCAATTTTCTTTAAAAATATAAACCTTTCCTCTGCAAACCCCCTGGCCCCATGGGTCTCAAGGAATCCCTCTTATTGTTGGGAACCCTATGGGGGCTATGGGAAAGAAAGGAGGGGAAAAACCTTTAATTGGTGCAAATCACCACTGTCAGAAGGAAAGTTCTCTCAGGAATGACTTACCTATGGACCCTGTTAATCTCTTATTGCAATTCCCTTTAACATGTTTACCCATTTCTAATTAAGCTTGCTAATGATACTCTGCACTGTAGTTGTACCTTTATAATAATTCTGTTTGTTTTTGTTCTTAATTTCAGCTATCTGCTCTGCAAGCCAAGGTACATTATCTCAAGTTTCTCAGTGACCTACGACTTTACGGGGGCCGTGTATTCAAAGCAACGTTATTGGTAGGCTTTCCTCCTATAATTTTTTTAAATGTTGTCAAATAGTTTGCAAAGGCTTAATGGGACAATTAACTGATCCTTCTACCAGAAGTCACACTGAATCATGCAGCAACTCTACCATTGCTTCAAGGAGTCTCCCTTTTAATACCTACTCTGGTAAATCACCCCTGACTGGAAGCCTGTGGCTCTCTCGATATTGCTGGACAGCAATGCCCACTATCTCTCACCATTAACCATACTGTCTAGGAGTAATGAGAGTCACTGTCCCATTAACTGAGAATTGGTCTACCTCTGCTTAACACCAAATATATAAGCTTATGGGAAGCCTGATTTTCTTTAATAGGTGTTGTGTGCATTTCAAAAGTGGTTTAAGATGGACAATACGGATTTAAAACAATGGCAATGGCAGGAAATAAATAGAAATGTGTGTGCTTTCCCTTGGTATGTGAAGATCTCATAGAATCATAGAACTCTGGAAGGAACCTCGAGAGTCATTGAGTTGTGTGAAGATCTCATAGAATCATAGAACTCTAGGGCTGGAAGGAACCTCAAAAGTCATTGAGTCAAACTCCCTGCCATAGCAGGAAGCCTCCTTGAGACATAGCTGTGCCACCTCTGTTTAAGAATCTCCAATGAAAAAGAATCTACTACCTTCTGGGGTAGTTCGTCCTACTGTCAAATAGCCCTTGCTTCTTCTTGCTTTCTGTATTTCAGCAGGGAGAAAAACGTTCTGAAGTGACCTTGTTAGTGGGGCCACGATATGGCATCAGCCATGTGATCAATACCAAAACAAACCTGGTAGCCCTGCTGGCAGATTTCAGCCACGTGAACAGAATCGAGATGTTTACAGAAGATGAAACTATTGTTCGAGTTGAGCTGCACGTGCTGGATGTAAAAGTAAGTTGGATGCTGACTGAATTTTAGTTGTTTTCGTAGGAAAGATTCTTTTGTCTGGGTTACAAGAAGCCAAAAGGAAGTGAACAGTCCTTTCAGTTTTGGTGGCCCATTAAGGTAATCATCAGGTCCAATTTAGTTAGTCATTTTTCAACTTCACAGTTTGTACATTAGAGTAATAGCAGAGTAACTGAAAACCAGATCTTGAACAGTTACTTTTAAAAAGTGATTGCATGCATAGTAGATTGCACACCTCTGCCGCCTTAACTCATTACCATTATTATTGTTAAAATATTTCTACGGAAATAACACAAATTACACTTTGCGTTGTTCATCATATTTTCTCTACTTTTCTAGAAGAAAAATACATCTAATTTTTTTTTAAACGATCCAAACATTGAATAAAAGTGGTATGTTATCCGTGCTTTTGGAATTTTCAAGTAGAAGGTGGTTAATGTGGGTGGTCCTCATTTCCTCTCAAAACAAGACGTTACAGATAATGTTCTTACACATTACTTCCAAGCTCTGCTGAAAAGCTCTCTATGAATTTATTGATGAACAATTTACTGTACAGATTAGAGCCAGTCTTCCTGCTGCTGCTCCTTCTCCTCCTCCTCTTCTTCATCTTCGGTCATCATCATGGTTATATGGACATATATACTGTTTACTTCTTCATGCTTATTTTCAGTTTTAGTCTTGTCATACGTGTCTTGTGAAAGAAGAGATTTATTTGCATGAGGATAAATTGCAGAAGGTCTGCAAGAAGAACAGACAGTAGTAGCCCTCAAACCTTGAACGTGCTTGGGAAACAGTTATCTCTGTGCATCTTCTCAAAAATGCCAGCATCACCAAACTTTTTTTTTCCAGACATTTCACAGTGAAACATATCCTTGCCCTTTTAGAATTGTCAGACAAACTAAGATTGATTCACCACATTTTCTTAGCTTTTTTTTCTTGACTGCTTTGAAGAAATTGGTTGGCATTATGCCAGAACTCCTGTAATTCTTCAGAAAATGATTTACTGGCTCGAAGCAAAACACTGTGAAAGAAAGGGAAGAGAAAACGGGGGTGTGGGTGGGGGTGGGGTTTACCTGCCCCATACGCCACATGTTTGCGTATGGTGTAAATAACACAGAGCCTGTAATAAATTAGATGCTGTTTCCAATTCATTTTGATTTTATATCTAATTATGAGAGATTTCAAAAAGCCAGTGGCTGACCCTAGTCTCAACTTGGGTAGGACCACTGAATAATAAGTCAGTACATCCAGAATATGGTGAGAGCACAGAGATTTTGTCTACCTGTTATTCTGAAATATACATTTCTCTTCCCCCTTTTGCTTTCAGAGGTGGGTCAGAATGAATCAGAATCATACATAGGAGAGCCATAATAACCCCTGTCAAGTATTCTGAGTTCTTAAAGCATAAAGTCTCTACTTGTCTCAATGAGCATTTATTTGCTAGAAAGATGAATAACCGTCCTTTCAACTGTCTTCAGTATCTGGAGCAACTCCGAGTTTGTTTTAGAACTGTATCGGTATCTTCTACTGCCACTCCTTCAGCCTTGTTGGAAATTGATCAGGACAAAGGTTGTGCCTAGAAAGAAAACTGCACAAAAGGTGAAAGTAGGAGGAATAAACATAGGCAGATAGTTCTCCAAATTCAAGGGAGTGCCTGGAGAATCTCAAGATTCAGCTGCTTATCAGCCTGAAGTCAGTTTTAAACTGTGCTACACAAAGATAGGGCAGATCACAGTATGGCCCTTCTCCAAGAAAGTAAAGGAAGGTCTCCATCTTCCAGAGTCTCTGAAGTTGTTGGTCATCTGTTTAGGAGCTGATGGCAGCAGTTACTCCAGTTCAGCTTTTGTTCTCTTACTTACATCGGAAGGCATGCAAGTCTTAAAAGAAAGGAATGTCCCAAAGGAATTTTCTCAGGTTGTTGATATATTTTATCTTCCAAGTAATATTCCTGAAAAGTAATATTGAAACAGTAAATCTTTACTGACAGACACTACGGTGAACCAGACAAAGACTTGGGTTCAAATCCCTGCTCAGTCATGGGAATTCACAGGGGGGTGGTGGTAACAATAAATTGTTTCTTAAATATCTCACATATCTTGGAAACCCTACTAGGATCCATATAAATAAGAAGCAACTTGATGGAACATAGGCATACACTCACAAATATTACTAGAATCCAGAGCACAGATTCACAGTGTCTACATCTTTGCAACTTCTGCTTCTTTTGTAGCAATGCTACACTTTTATTAGGACTCCTACTCTTTGATACTACTGCTTTAATGTAACTGAAATTAAAAGCACCATTCCTCCTTTCCTCTCCAGTGGCTCTAAAGAAATAAATCAGGAAATTGACCCTGTGGCTGAAATTATTCATTTTGAAAATGCACTTGAATTTCCCTCATTTATGAAGAATAAATGATGGACTCACCATTGCTTCTATCTGTCTGTCTGTCTGTCTGTCTGTCTGTCTGTCTGTCTGTCTGTCTTTTATAAATGATATATTTGTCCTAAACTGTTTTTCACAACAATGTTATTATGTACAATACAAGCTATAGCTTCGTATGAACGCTGTAGGCCTAATTCCATTTATGTGCCCCATAAAAATTATGTGCCCCAAAGGTAAGGTAAAGTTAAAGGTTCCCCTTGACATTTAGTCCAGTCGTGTCCGACTCTAGGGGGTGGTGCTCATCCCTGTTTCCAAGCCGTAGAGCCAGCGTTTTGTCCGTAGACAGTTTCCATGGTCACATGGCCAGTGTGACTAGACACAGAACACCGTTACCTTCCCACCAAGGTGGTACCTATTTATCTACTCACATTTACATGCTTTTGAACTGCTAGGTTGACAGGAGCTGGGACAAGTGACGGGAAGGTCACTCCATCACATGGATGTGATCTTACGACTGCTTGGTCTTCTGACCTTGCAGCACAGAGGCTTCTGCGGCTTAACCTGCAGAACCACCACGTCCCTGTGCCCCATAAAACCACTGAAAAGAAGAGCTTACTGGACTGTAAGTTCCATTAAAAAGGCCTAGTTCCATTAAAAGTTCTATTTAACCATATGTAATTTAACTTCTCAATAAATATATGTAGGGTCATGCTGTCAATTCAGTTATAATTAGGAGTTTTTATTTATGCAAATGTAATTGTTCTCTAAATATTTTCTGCTTTAGATTTGATATCTTTTAATTACATAGACATGACCTGGTTGCCTTTTTTTTCTTTTTCTTTTTCTTTTTTTGCTTAGCCAATCACTTTGCTGATGGAGTCATCGGATGCCATGAATCTTGCTTGTTTAACAGCCGGATACTATAGACTTCTTGTTGATTCAAGGCGATCAATATTTAACATGGCCAGCAAAAATAATGGTGGAATACACGAAATGGGTAATGTATACTTATAAATGGAGCACACATTCAAATAGGCACACTACTGTATCAGTTGGCAAGATAGTTCAGTGAGTTGGGTAGCTGACTGTAGAGCCAAAGGTTTGGAAACTGATTCCCCATTGTACTTCCTGGAAGAGGGGCCAAAGCGAGGAGCATAGACCCAAAACGTGTTCAGAAGAAGGGCTTGGGAAACCACTGCTGAGTACAGTACTTTACACCTAGGAAACCCTGAAAAAGGTTACTATAAATCAGGATCAACCTGATGGCATGTAATTATTATTTACCTTTAAGGTAAACTTATATTCAACTTGAAGGAGACATCTGTCACATTTAAGGGCATGTACCTGTACGAATGTACTTTGCAAAATCAAAACTTTAAAGGTGGCATGCTTAACTCCAAAAATGTACTGTATTCAGATTCATATCAATTTGCTGACCTGTTTCAGGACCAACCCAAGTAGAATTGTTTTGTTTTCTTGTTCAGATATATCATCAATATGACATCAGTTTTTTTATTTGTTTGATTTGTTAATATAAGAATCTGCCATGGGCATTTCCCATGTATTTCAGAGAAAGGAGAAAGAGCCATTAAGAAGAGAAAGCAGTAAGAAGCTTATTTCAAAATTATAGGCACAAGATGGACCTACAAATACAGATGTTTAGGAACAATAAGTAATTTTTTTCTGAGGTATATCGAATGGCATGAACTGATTCAGGTATTCATCTTTTCTCCCTTTTGTATCAACTTTTAGGGAATGAAACTAAAGGAAAGCACAACCTTCATGGGTCAGAATGGAGCTGTGTGGCAAAAACAACAACATTCCCTGCAGAAGTAGAGCAGGAGGCACATGTGTGTATAGACTCAAAACAGAAAATGGCCGAGGTCTGTGACAACGCCTTGTATTCAAAAGAACCCAGGCACTTGTACATAGAGGATGTCTATAGTTCGAGTGGTCTTGATCAGCATCGGGACAAGCAAAGTGACTCTGTAGAGGCCGAAGAAAACCGAAGTTTAAGTGAGCAGTCTGTGCTGTCATACTCCGGAGGACTGGAATCCAGTAAGAAAACACAAGGCTCTCCAAGAGCAGCAAAAGTATCCTTTATATTTGGAGATCACAGTTTGGATGGTATTAACCCCCAAACTCTTGGCTATGAAAGATTATTGGATGAAAGTCCAGAAGCATTAGAAAAGCAAAGAGCACTTTATTTAAGCCATGCCAATGACATTAAGGGCTTGGAGTTGTCCCCAGATGCCGAAAGCATTCAGTTTGCTACTAATTCTGTTTATGCAGGCTTAAATGATGGCAAAATTTTTGAAGCTGCTGAAGGAATTGAGGAGCCATTGCTGCATGATATTTGCTATTCAGAGAACACAGATGATGCTGAAGATGAAGATGAAGTAAGCTGTGAGGAAGACATCATGGTAGGAGAAATCAACAGGCCCACTCTTCTGAGCCTTTCAGGTTCTAGTGATGACATCATAGACTTGACCTCTCTCCCACCCCCAGAAGGGGATGATAATGAAGATGACTTCCTCTTGCATTCTCTGAACATGGCCATTGCTGCTCCCCCACCTGGATTTAGGGATAGCTCTGATGAAGAAGATTCTCAGAATCATACAACACACTACAGGGAAGACAAGGAAGAAACAAACAACATAGGGAGTGGTGACATTCCAGTGTCACTTATTGATGCTGTCCCTACTACTAATACTGAAGGAAAATGTGAAAGAGGGCTAGATGATGCTGTGGTTTCCACTCTTCAAGCACTGGAGGCCTTGGCTGCTTCTGAGGAGCAACAGACAAGGGACAATTCAGGTTCTTTGACCACTGTTACATTTATTCATTGAATCACATCCTACCATGTCCTTCATTTTCACCATTTAGCCTTTTCACCATTAGTCTTTTTTTTAAAAAACATCTCATTATCATTTTTATTGTTATTACCATTGTCATTTTTGCCATCACCCTGTACTTCTCCTACAATAGAACTGTCATTGTGTTAAGTTGCCTCTTTTTTTTTGAAACTATGCAATATGTGAACCAGTATTCTAAAACCAATTTTATGCTCACGAACCCCATTTTCTTATCAATATATTGCAGTGCCTGACCTGGTTTCATTAACTGGATGTTATTTTCTGTGGCATACAGGTGTAGCCATCTTGAGAGCATATAGTCCTGAATCCTCATCTGATTCTGGCAATGAGACTAATTCCTCTGAAATGACAGAAAATTCAGAACTGGCCACAGCACAGAAGCTGACAGAAAATGCGACACGTATGTTTTTGCCCACACATGAGGGTTACCAGCCACTTGGGGAGCCCCAGTCTGACTTCTCCCTCACCAAGAACCAGCCTGGGGGACTGCTAATGAAGTCTGTACAGTCATCAGCTAATCAGCAAGTGGCAGAGCTCCAGACCAAAGGTGTGCCTTCAAAGCAGATTCTCCATTCAGATAACATGGAGATGGAACCAGAAACCATGGAAACAAAATCTGTTACGGAATATTTTAGCAAGCTGCACATGGGGTCTGCAGTGTATTCTTGCACGACTAAACGGAAAAATAAGGCAGCGGATGGAGAAAGTAAACCAACTCCTGATGGCAATGTTGTTATGAAAAAACAGCAGGGGGCTAAAAAAACAGAGACTGATGAACAGAAGGATAAAAATAGTATGCTCTCCTCACGGGAGAGTCAGCGCATAAGCACTTTTAATGTTGAGAGAACTGCCTTTCGCAAGGATGGCCAAAGATGGTATGCTCCTTCTGACGAGGGAGCAGTAGAGAAACCAAATTCAGAGGCAGTGACTGGAAAGACAGTTCCAAGGGTTTCCAGTGTTGGGAAAATGGAAGTGGATAGTAAAGTTGATGTGCATCCCGAGGTTGACCACAGTGGTCTTCTAGGGCGTGGGCCAGAGGAACATTTTGGGTCAGAAGGGACTCCTCTGTCTTCACCCAAAGACCGAAATGGTTCTGAAGAAGTCAGCTTAGCTGTGGAGGGCCACCTGTCAAAGCTTCCAGAAGCAGAGCAGGGTGTGACTCGGTTATGCGAGTATCACTTAGCTAAGCGCATGTCGTCGCTGCAGAGCGAAGGCCATTTTTCCCTCCAAAGTTCTCAGTGCTCATCAGTGGACGCAGGATGCAGCACTGGCAGCAGCACGTGTGGAACCCCAGTTGACTCTCCTCTTTGTAGCTCTGACCCGAAGCACATTATGCCTGACTCAGCAGGGAAAGGCCTTGGCTATATACCTGCGGACGAAAGAGCCGCCATGCTTCCCAACCATGGAGCACCCTACAAGGATCTGCATCCGCAGTCTGAAACTGTGTGCCACAGAACGACAGTGCCTGTTATGCATTCAGCAGTTAATTCTGCTGACCCCTTATTTGGCACTTTGAGAGATGGCTGTCACAGGATTCCCAAGATTAAGGAAACTACAGGTACGACAGCATAAAAGCAATTATTGGAATATTGCTACATGGATGCCAAACAAGCACAGTTGTAGGAAGGGGCTCAATATGAACATTAGTGTGGAAGGGCATAATTAGTCCAGAGGATCCTGTTGCCCCCTCATACATTCATTGAGCATGTGCATAGTATCTTCTGAACCAGCATGTTCTCCATGTTTCACCCCAAAAATTGGAGGCATATTTTGCACACCCCACACCCCCATACCCGCTGGCTCTCTTTAAATTAGCAATTATAGTTTCATCCCCAAATCTAACAGTTCAGGCATTAAGCAAGTATCTTTAAGAACAATTTGATAACAATAGTATTCTGTCACATTTTCCCAAAGAAACAGGGAAATATTTACGATATGTCTCTAAAAAATTTCACAGAAACCTAAGCAACCTGACTAAGCAGAAATATTCAGAATGAATATATGATTAACTTTACTTTTTCTGCAATCTGTGCTGGCAGTGATCTAGCTAACTTCCATGTGTGTGTCTTAAATAACATGCTTAAGAATTTGAATCATGTGCTCATTTCTTTTCCATTGAATTTGAGATTTTAAAAATCCATAATGTTAAGTTTAATTTTATTCATAATATTAATAAGGCACTGGAAAAAATATTTGTGCTGGAACCACCTGCAAAACAGGACCACCCTTCAGTTGTCTTTGCTCTCCAGTTGTCTTTGATGTTGACTCCCTTCATGCCTATTTAGAATGGCCAATGTTCTGCTGGTGGGGTTGATGGGGGTTGTAGTCCCATACATTTGCTGCTTACAGTTAGTGAAAACTAACACACATAGTGAAAGCTGGCTTGTGAGATGAAGCAATCTATTATTCCGTGCTACTGCCACAGATGAGTGATGAAAGCAGAGGGAGAAAGGCCATATTTTTTACCTCCATACTACTCCTGCACAGCACCTAGGAGGGCCCAGTGCGGTCATTCTTTGTACTGATTCCGAAAACCCTACAATGCACAAACCCAAGTTGTTACTGGTCTGCTAAGTCTCATGAGAACAGTAAACATGCTGAATGACTTGGTCCCACTCTCCACTCTGAGCAAGGTTGTGGAGCCAGTCTCAGGCATCTGAGTGCTCGAAAACCTGGGACTGATAGTGAAAGCTGGCTTGTGAGATGAAGCAATCTATTATTCCGTGCTACTGCCACAGATGAGTCCCTGTGCATTCATACACTTTGTTTGATAGTGAAGAGTAGGATTGCTATCTTTTCTTTTCCTGAGAATTTTCTCATCTTTATCACCTATTACGGTAGGCAAGTAAAGATCCTCTCTCTGCAGAGGACAGCTGTATCTATTAAATGTAGGTGGCTGAAATGCGGAGAACACTGTTTTTTCAAGGAGGTTGTGGAGCCAGTCTCAGGCATCTGAGTGCTCGAAAACCTGGGACTGGTCCCTGTGCATTCATACACTTTGTTTGATAGTGAAGAGTAGGATTGCTATCTTTTCTTTTCCTGAGAATTTTCTCATCTTTATCACCTATTACGGTAAGCAGGTAAAGATCCTTTCTCTGCAGAGGACAGCTGTACCTATTGAATGTATGTAGATGTCTGAAATGCAGGAGAACACTGTTTGTTTTTTCAAGTACAGTATCTAAAATAATTTGAGATTTTCTTCACATTATGAATGGAAGGAATTATTATGTTAAAAATATGAATGGAGGACAAAGCCACGCTGAGGTTTTGCCACTAAGCACACAGGATTAACAATCCTGTTTAATTTTCTCATCTTTATCACCTATTACGGTAAGCAGGTAAAGATCCTTTCTCTGCAGAGGACAGCTGTACCTATTGAATGTATGTAGATGTCTGAAATGCAGGAGAACACTGTTTGTTTTTTCAAGTACAGTATCTAAAATAATTTGAGATTTTCTTCATATTATGAATGGAAGGAATTGTTATGTTAGAAGTATGAATGGAGGACAAAGCCACCCTGAGGTTTTACCACTAAGCACACAGGATTAACAATCCGTTTGCAAAAGTTTTTAAAATGGCTTTTATAGGATACTGTTATCTCACAGTGTTTATGTCCTCAATGAGGGACTGCATAACAAATAATTCTAATGAACAATACCGGCACATTCTCACTTCTTTCAATGACAGCTTTCAGGAGAACAAAGCAACATTTCAAATAAGCAGGAACAAGACACCAAAACATACTGCAGGCAAAATTCAGGGTACACATTTAATTGTCATCTGGGTCTATAGCAGTCAATCAAACAATAGATAGATCTGTAGATAAAGACAGTGGAAGAATACACTAGTTACCCTGAGAACTTTTATTCTAATATAAAAACATTTGAGTAAATAGAACATACAATGCGGAGACTGTGAAGGAAATACAAATGAAAACAGACCCAACTTTTTAAGACACATTTTTATTTCTCTTCCTGATCTGCAGCTAAGGCAAAGAATTTGAAGGAGTTGGCTCCTGTAAGTGGCAACTGTGATGTTATCAAAAAGCCTTACCACGCCCTCCAACATCATGGACCAATTTCCATTTTTTTTAAAACAGAATGTTTCATTATGTTTTGGTGAGAGAGTGGATGAGCAGAGAAATGTCATGTGCCAATATCTGAAGAAAAAAAATTAAAGGGGAGACTCCTGTCTAAACAATGGGGACATAACAGCTCTGGGGTTTAGGTAGCTAACTACAGAGCCAGAGGCCGGGAGTTCAATTCCCCGCTTGTGCCTCCTTGACAGAGTCTGGAATCGATGATCCCGAGGTCCCTTCTAGCTCTGCATTTCTAAGATCATGATTATGCTTGAAGTAGCATTTGATTCATTCATGTGCACATTCATCATTCAAACTGCAATGCCCAGAGGAAGCCAGGTTTGCACCACAGCTGAGAGACTAAGCACCAGCTTTTCTCTTTCGATAGTATATCTGTCTACATCTTAATTAAAAATCCTATTAAGCACAGAAGGGCAGTTGCACCACAGTTTTTCCCATCTGGCTGGCATATGACTGGCCAGATGACTCGTCGTGCACACAGTTTGGTCACATGAAGGAGGGCCTGCTAGCAGGAGGGAAATGTAGTAGCCTTTACTTGATCATATAAGTGCGCAGAATACCTATGATTAACTTATTTCTTATTTGCTGTTGTTGACAACGATGATGATGGGTTTAATGAACTAAATGTCTTCTAAAAGAACCTTGAGGGTCTTGTGGATGTCACATCAACCATGCCTGATGATTAAAAAAGAACAACAACAGTTAATTATCTAAGGTTGAAATGCTCAGTTATTAAAAGGCTTTTTGAGATGCTTAATTATTCTCTCTGTTCTTCTACTACCCCTAGTGTAGCTTTCACAGAACCTGTGACCGGAAGACAAGGAGGCATGCCTTCTGCTTTTCCTAACCAGCCCGGAGCTGATTCCATCATGCTATCATCCCACATTCACTCTGAAACAAAGGTGCCAAGTCAAAACCAAGACTCTTCTAATGTTCCCAAAGTCAACCAGTCAGGTGGGGTAGTGGTTAGTTTACGGCCATATGATACAATAGGGGGGAGCCTCAGAATGCCGCACAACAGGAAAGTGTTGCGACGTAGCAGCAGTGTCGTTGCAGCCACTACAGGCATTGAGATGTTCCTGGAGAAGGAGAAAGCAGCTGCCAGTGCGTTAAGTGCAGAAGGCCTCAGAACAGATTACTCAGGAGCAGAAAAAAGAGGAGAGCTTCCTCTGGGCAAAGTGCTATCGAAAAGTTATTCGCAAAGTTCTGTGAATGTCAGCATGAGTGTCAAAAGAGGTTCTGTCCCCATGCAGAGGGAGTCCAAGCAGTACCGAACACTGCCCTTACGGAAGCTGGAGTCTAGCAACTGGAAATGCCGCGGTCCCTTTAGCTATTGCTTCCTAAAGAGGGGAGATGGGGAAGACGAGGACGACGACGCTGAACAGAGAGATGGGACTGAGCTCTCATGCCTGTATAGTCCTGAATTACAGGGCGAAGTAGCAGATTGCACTACTCCTTCCTCTTCCACGGAAAATGGAGAAAAGGAGGGAAAAGGTACGGAGGCCCCTGGAAATACAGAAAAGAATCCAAGCAAGAAGAGCCATTTTGAAGTCAAGGATGGTAGAACTGATGTGAATCTCAGTGACATGTCCTTCGAAGCACGAATTGCGAGACTCGGTGAAATGAAGGAGAAGAATTACGCAGTGCCTGATGGGTTTCTTGCAGCACAAAAGGATGCCAATGAGCTACTCTATTTGGTCCGATCGAGTGCGGGGAAGCAGGAGGATAATCCAGAAACATATGACCTTAAACTTTCTCAGTGCAAACAACTCTTATCTGTAGAATCAAGACAGTTGGGAAGTGCCTGCAGGAAAATGGCCATGGCTGAAAAAAGCCCAGAGGATATGCTTGTAGCAGTGACCTCTAGCTTTCAAGTACTCTGTTGCTTAACAGAAGCCTGCATGCGTTTAGTTAAAATCATGAACTCTGAAACACAGCAGGAGGAAATTGTAGCTAAAATAGATGAGGTGGTAATAAACTACATCGGTCTCCTGAAGGCTGCAGAAGCAGCATTTGGCAAATCCTCCAGTGACTATAGCGTTAAACTTTTGGCTCGTCATTCGACAACCATGGCCACTGTTGTAAGCACACTAACACGTTCTCTTAAAATGCTTTTAAATAAATAAACAGAAGTCACTTCATAATCTATCTTTGCAAAGCCATACATTTAAAGGAGAAAAACCTTTTATTTAAGTATACATGTGTTTGAACTAATGTTAAACACAGAGCTCTCTCTCTCTTTTTCTCTGACTCTCTGTATATTTTGTTATTTTATATGAAATAGTTATGGGACTTCAACAACAACAACAAAACCTACAAAACTGTCAAACTTGTGGCCAGTCCTACTCTTCTGTTTTCTTTATTTTAAAAAAGAGAGGGAGAGAGAGAGGCAGTACAAGAGTGTTCCAACATTTGGCTTTTTTGGTGGTCAAGTCTTATAGATCTTAACTTCTAAAAACTGTGATACTAGAGAAATTACTTCCTTTCCCTGTCCAGGTTTATACTTGGAAACTGTACAATTCATGTTTGGAACTAAGAAATGGTATCTTAATGTATATAACAGTATTTAATGTTTGAATTATAATTTTTAATAGCAAAGAGACATTTTAAATCCCAGAGAATAATATGACTTATTAGAGATTATATATAAATATATATATATATACATACACACATACACAATAAATTAATCTTTTGTTCATATTGTTTGCTTGATGCATCTATTATGCTATAATTTATTTATTTCCTCTTTTTTGACCAAAAAAACTTCCCAAGGTGGCTCACAAAATTCATAAATAAAATACAAGTTGCTAATATTTGACACAGCAATATCTTAATAACATTTTTTTAAAAACACAAATTTAAGCCTGGTTCAGGAGGTGATTGTCCCACACACACCCCAACTTACTTTCCAGGCTGCAGCTCTTTCTAAGGTTCCCCTTCAAGGAGGCATAGTACAGCAAATAGAAGAACTTGCTCCAATACTTCCGAATAGGTTCTCCCCATACTTTTTTATGGCCTAGCAGTTCTCTAATGTCAAGGAAGAGAAGTCTGACTTCATATCCACAATTATTCACTGTTATTCATTGGATTTTAGCTCATGGTGTAACTTGAAGCATGAGCCCCAAGTTAATTTTGTCAGCGTGCTGTGTTATGCCATGATTGTTGGATGAGTGCCTGGTCTCATTTGAGTTAAAAGAATCCAAGACAGCCACATTTTGGAAAATAAAAATACAGCACGACCCCCGTATCTGTGGGATCCATATCCGTGGTTTCACTTATCTGCAGTCTGAATATATTAAAAGTATTTTTAAAAAAAACCCTAGAAAATGCATGTTTTCACAATGTGTTTACCAGAATTGGCCACTAAAGGGAGCCTTCATGCTATGTAGTCTTGTTGTTGGAATGCATGGCATGGTCTCTTGTTCCCTCTAATGACACATTTTGGTAATACATGGTGAAAATACTTTTTTTCTGGATTTTGTTTTCTTTTACCATGCTGTGTATAGCATTTGCTCTTATCCACAGTTTTCACTATCCTCCAAGGTGCTTGGATCCAATCTGTGGATACAGGGATACTACTGTTTAAACAATCCTACCACAATCAATTCTGCATATTTAATGCAACTAGCAGACAAGTTGATTTTTTTTTTTCACCCTCTCATGGTTGTCTTACTCCTCTACTTTGTATTCTGTTATTTTGCGCTCTTCAATCTTGCTCTATATTCTTCTCCTGTATTCTCTTCCCAAATGAATCAACACAGGCATTCAGCAGAAGCTATGTAACAGAATAAGTCACCTTTGAAACTGTGGGAGTGACAATGACCAGATGGCTTGAGAAAAGGATTACAGTCCATCTAAACAGTTAAAGCAGTCGTCCCAATCTCTTTTTCAGTTGCAACAAAATCATGAATGCTGTAGCTATGTAATTTTCCTACAGTGGCACAAGTTTGGACTAAATAATTTTGAGGTCTCTTCCAATTCTGTTATTTGAAATTTATTGCTAAAATATTGGTCACCTATAGAATACCTGCATTCTACATTTATCTTAAATTTTTTATTTCAACATGGTATATCTGTATCATGCCTAGCATTAGCAAATGGGCTTCTAAGTTTCATTTCTCATACAGGCAGAGGGTTATTTTGCTGTTCATACAATGCTGGTACACCTGTGGTGGCAGTGGGAAATATTAGTAAAAAGATAAGAAAAAGGCTCAGTGCTGGAAGCAATTGCAGCTATTTCGTTTTGTCCACATCAGATTGCAATAGCCGATAGATCGTTCCAGCATGGATTGTGTTGCTTGGAGATCAAACTAATCATCTCATTTTAATCTGAAGTTTTCCCAAACCTCTCGAAAATGCTATATTCCATGTGTTGCTCAACAGCTGGACTCTATCCTCAGGGTGTTCAGCTTGCCAGAAATAGTGGCTCAGCTGCTCAGTGGAGTTGGAAAAAGGAAAACAGACAACAAAGAAAAGGCAGAAGTGCTCAATTCCTACTTTAGTTCAGTCTTTCCCCAAAAGACTGTTTGTGACTCTCCAAGCAAATGTGAATTACATGTGGAGGGGACAGGATTGCAGCATGAGATAGATCCACAAACAGTCAAGGAATACCTTACTATGAGTTCATATCTCCAGGGCTATTATTTTCTTGAAGTCATGGAGGATGGGTGAAGTCCCAGATGATCGGAAGAGGGCTAAAGTCCCTATCTTCAAAAAGGGCAAAAAGGATGAAATTCTCAAGCAGATTATAAAGCTGTTACTCTGCAAGTACCTTAAAAACAATGTAATATTCTGATTAGCTGGCTAATTGTGTGTGGGCTAGATAAAACCACTATCAGATGGATACACAGTTGGTTACAGAATTGTATTCAGAGAGTGCTTATGAATGGCTCTTTCTCAAACTAGGAAAAGGTAACAAATGAGGTACCCTAAGGCTCAGGGACCAGTGCTCTTCAACATTTTATTAATGACTTGGATAAGGCAGTGCAGGGAATGATTATCAGATTTGCAGATGACACAAAATTGGGTGGAATAGCTAAGACCCTGGAAGACAGAAACAAAGTTCAAAAAGATCTTGATAGGCTCAAGCACTGGGCTGAAAACAACAGAATGAAACTTAACAGGGATAAGTGCAAAGTGAAATTTAACAGGGATAAGTCCAAAGTTTTACACCTAGGAAAAAAGAAACCAGATGCATAATTACAAGATAGGGGATACTTGACTTAGTCATAATACTTGCAAGAAGGTTCTTGGACTTGTTGGAGATCACAAGCTGGATATAAGCCAATAGCAGGATGCAGCTACAAAAAGGCAAACACTATTTTAGGTTGCATTAACAGAATTATAGACTCCAAATCACGTGAAGTATTAGTTCCCCTTTATTTGGCACTGATTAGGCCTCATCTAGAGTACCATGTCCAGTTTTGGACACTGCACATCAAGATGAATGTAGACAAACTGGAACAAGTTCAGAGGAGGATAACAAGGATAATCAGATGACTGGAAGCCAAGCCCTGTAAGGAAAAAGTGGGGAAAAAATGGATGCGTTTAATTTTGAGAAAAGAAGACTGAGGGGAGGTATGATAACACTTTTCATATACTAGGAAGGTAGTCATACAGAGGGGGCAGGATCTATTCTCAATCATCCCAGAGTACAGGACACATCTTAATTGGCTGAAGTTACAGGAAGCCAGAATTTGTTTGAATAAGAGGAGGGACTTCCTAACTGTTAGAGCAGTATGAATGAAACCAATCACCTCAGGAGATTGTGACTGCTCCACTGCTAAAGGCATTCAAGAGAAAGTTAAACAATCATCTGTCAGATCAGCTTTGATTCCTGCACTGAGCAGGGGGCTGGACTCAATGGTCGTATAGGCCCCTTTAAACCCAATTATTCTGCACTCTAAAGAAGGGCTGCTCAGCATTTATTAGCCTAGCCAGTTCAGATTTGCTTACTTTTTTGCCTTTTAGGAATTTAAGAAAAAATTAAGATTGAACTGTATGAGGTGTCCGCCTCACAATTTAGAAAGAGTGAAACATTGTCCCTTCAGAAGTATATTCTTTGAAACCTATTGCATTGCATCTGTGCAATAAACTTACAAAAGAAATGTATTGTTGAACTCCCAATGACCAAACACTGAAAAAACCAAGATTAATGTGCATCTTGCAGAGTTCCTGAAACCTCATGTTAGGATAATCAGACATCCTGTAACTCTTTAGGAAACTCCACTTCTAATTGTGAAACTAGCAGCTTGTATAGTCTGATCCTTAGCAACTGTATTTTAATGAGTTTTCATGATGAAAAACCCTGGTACAGTGGTACTTCGACTTAAGAACTTAATCCGTATTTGGACTGCGTTCTTAAATTGAAATGTTCTTAAGTCGAAGCACTATTTCCCACAGGAATGTATTGAAAACCGATCAGTGCATTCCGAGGGTAGAAAAAAGGCAAAAAGACAGGGGGAAAGGGCTGGAAATCTGAATTTCCTGCCCCTTTCCCCTGCCTTTTTGCCTCCGGAGGTCTCAAACGACTTCCTCCGATGTTGGGGGAAAAGACCGCTGAAGGCACCGATCACTGCAGCGGGGGCCCCCAGGGAGGTCTCCCAGGGCTTGCCTGCCACCATGGAACACCTCCCTGGGGGTCCCCGCCACCGCGATCAGCGCCTTCGGAGGTATCGAAGGGCTTTCCCCCTGACATCGAAGAAAGCCCTTTGAGACCTCTGAAGGCAAAAAGGCATGGGAAAGGGCTGGAAATTCGAATTTCCCACCCTTTTCCCCTGCCTTTTTTCATTCCTAGGTCGAGGCCCCGTTCACAAGTCGAGGCCAATTTTTGCAAACGGAGCCGTTCGTACGTCGAAATGTTCATAGGTAGGGACGTTCGTAAGTCGAGGCCCCACTGTACTATATAACACTGGTATAAAATAACAGTGAAAGACCTTAATCATTTCTGAAAGCTCCTTCAAAAAAAACTTCAATGCAATACTAAGAAATCCTATAGTGTGTGTGTAGTTTTGGGGCTTGCAAGGGGAATGGAGAAATAGCCTGAATCTTATGGGCAGGCCAGGTCAGATCCCAAGCAAAGATTTTTTTAAAAGTCAGGATAGTGTATAGCTCCTGGCTCTGTGAAGCTTTTCTTCCTCTTGT